AAGTCAGCAACGATGGTGGTAAATTAAAGTAAGCACTTTTTATTAGTTATATTATACTTAAATAGTACAAACAGTATTATAAAATAATATGATCACTATTTGCGCCTGTAAACAATAGCGGTAGGAAATTATTACATGCAAACGCAGAGGTTCTCATACATATATACCTATATTTTAAATTGTATATATTACTGAAATAATAGGTAGCAATAATAATTGTGGATGCCTAAAAAAAAAAAATACATGTTTTCATCTCTAATTTATTGAAGCACGGTTTGTATAGGTATAATAATTCGTTTGAATTATTTCTTAGTTCCGTCTTGTCGGGCAAAGAGGCGACCGTTTCCGGATTTAAGTGAAACTGAAATATATCATTAAGACATTGCGCAATAGTTATAGCATTTACTCATACCTATTGTTATAATTACTACAATAATATGACGATAATTAATTTAATGAGTAGGTCGAAGCGTAAATGAACGTTAATATTTTTACAATGTACCGGTAATTAGTAATTACCCAAAAACGCGAATTTTAATGTACTTGAAAAAACCCAAACTAATTATTTCAGCAACGATAACAGAAAAACAAATAAATATTGTTTTGAAGTTAATTGATTGGTAATTTAGTGCTGTGTATTTGATATGTTCTAATTAAACTGTCAGTACAAGTCAGTTCGAATTTAAATTATAAACAAATTGTCCAAAAAAAAATCAAAAGTATTATTTGTACTACTCGAGTAGGTACAATTTAATAATTAAAATAGGTTTATTTATAATTACTTAACATTTTATTTTGTTAACATACGGTAATAACATTTTTTAACACTTTGTTTGCGTTCATAAAGTCGAAGGAAATGAAATCGCTTATAATTTTGGAATGACATTTATGTTTTATGGGGAGAATAAATCAAAGAAGTCGAAACCCGAGGAAAATCGAAATCTGAGAGTGTTGCGGTTTTCAAAAAGGTACTAAATTTGAAAGTAAAAATATTAATAATTATGTGCGTCTGTAAAAAAGTAGTATGTATTAAATTACACGGTTATAAAAAAAAGCGAAAAAATGCCTTCTCAAATTCGCAAAGGAGGAAAAACGTTTTATTCTTGAAGAAACTGAACTATTCACATTTAAGGAAGATAGTTAAAACAAAAAACCTTTAAACGTCTCTTATTTTGATATATTCTTCAAAGCTACATATTTACAATGAATGACAATTAATACCAATAAAAACTAAAATGTGTAAAAATTATATTTTTTTCACGCATCACAAACGACAAACCCTGATCTAAAAACTAAATTTATAGGTTATTAGTTTTAAGAAATTTTCCAAAGAAAGTATGGATGTTATATTAACTAGAATTTGTTTATTATTCCAAATAAATCGTAATTTGTATTTGGAATGTTATTTGTTTACCAACACGTTTATTTAAAGAAGGTAACTATTTCTAATATTATTTAAGATTAGTCTTTATCCTATGTTACTAAGATAAATATTTAATTTGTCTCATTGTTAAACATTTCTCACGGTAGCTTACTATATTGTTTCCCGTTTTCTGTCCTATCAATTAACAAAAAAATAAGTCTGTAAAACCGATAAAACCTTCTGTTCCCGTGTCATAGTCAAAAACACATAAAATGTATATAATTTTCTAACTAACAGCTAATACTTTTATTGTAATACTTTTGTCGTAATACTTTCAGGTAAAAAAGAAAAACTTAGTCAAAAAGTCATTTTTTTGTAATTCCATAAAGACAAGTTTATATTATATTGTATATGTATTGGTATCATACGATTCAATTGAAAGTATTCCTAGACAATCATACTACCTATATTAGCTTCGATGCGATAGCTGAGAAGGTATTGTATTTACAAATATGTGTTTTTATTTTTTTATTTAAGATCAGAAATCGTACCTGTAAGGAACTTTATTAGATCAACAATTTTAAAAGTCCATCCCTTCCCCTTCAAACTCCTTTACATATCTTTTTTAAATAGTCTAACTAGTTCCAAATTTTTATAGAATATTATTAAGACATAGAACTACCGACAAACGTTGATAACCTAAATAATAATCGTACACCTTTTCTCCCAGAAGGAGTGGAATTTTTTTCTTTTTATCGCTTTTTCATGTAAAATTTTAGGGGTTTAGGTATGGAAATTAGACCAGTAGTAGATCTAGAATACAGTAAAACATATACAATTTCCTTAAAAATCTGTAGTCAATTTTTTTTTTTTTATTAAGGAAAAGCCAAAAAATAGGGGAAAATTACACTTTGACCGTAGTCAGTTTTAGGTTGTTATGTGTGGTTTATATACATACTACCCACAGATTCGCGTCAAAGCGTTTATTTAAATTTTAGAATAGATTTTATCACTTTTAGTTATAATAATTCCTGTATACCTGCGACCTCTCCATCCCCACTATGCCCCGACCCCACTGTACTAGCTTTTTTTTCTTTTTAATTTTCTCCGACTCACTATTGACTTGAACAATACACGAGTGGCTAAATAAACAAAATATAAAGTTATTACCGCTACACTTGAACAACAACTTTGACTCGACGGATTGTAACAATACAACGTTATTTTTTGTACATTGAAGACGTAGCAAATTAATTGTTATTTACAGAACAGCAAACGCAGTAGAAAATAAACAAACATGAAGACATGTTACCTATAAATCGTTTTACACAGTACGCTCTAACGGAAATTAAAAAACAACATCTAATTAGGTGACATATTCTGGAGGTTGGGTAGTTAAATAAAACATGTTATATTATTATTTGTTTCGCTGCAGAATTTCCAAACATTTTTTTTCCACCAGAAATATCTTTTAAAAATCCAATAAAATATTGAATGGCTTGATAAATGACGTTGAAATTTGATAATATATTATTTTACATTTTTTCCTATATAAACGCGTCCGAACAAAATATATTAACGTTGACAATAATTAATAATATAGTAGTCATTATTGTTTAATTAAAAAACGAGTGTTTACTATGCAATTCAACCGAGGTTTGTATAAATATTTGGTTATTTCCGTGACGTGCTCAACAGACGGCGTATGCACACTTCTCGTTTATAACAGAACCTGATCATATAAGAATAATAATAATAATAATATAAGGTCAAGTAAATATTTCCAAATAATATAATATAAATAGCCGGTTCTATAATTAGTTTTTTTAATTTTTGTTTTATTAGATATAAACAATCTATACATAAATCTGTACAATAAGCTTATATGATAAGAGAATAAAATTGAAATACAGGCTTGTTAAGAAGTCACCCATTAGCAACACTTATAATTTGATCTATAATTAGTTACGCATAAAAGTAAGCCGATTATCCAATATGCTATATTTAGCTTATTCTCATGGACTATATTATATGCAATATATTAAAACTTTATATTATAAACCTAGCTTAGGTATACTTTTATGTAAGCTTCGTTTTTTTTTTTAATTCGGGTTTACAAAGTTTTTTAACAGCTAAATAAACGCTTAAATTGCCTTATTAAGTGAATTTAAAATTAAGTATCAAACAACATAATATTGACGTAGAAAACGTCAAAGCAACTATATTAGGTTCAAACAAAAAAAAAAATGGGGAAAAAAGCATACTATAATGCTTAAACTAGATGCTTTCTGTGTAAACTGATTTTTCAATGAACATGAAATATGTATTACGCATTTATATTTTAGAAATTTTGGTTTAGACTGTACTGTAACAGATATGAATGTCATGAGTCATGATGCTATAAACACAATAACTCTTATGGGAAATATATTACCATACTACATTAAGCCTGTTTAAGTTATTTTATTCATAAATGCTTGAGAAAACAACAATAACCCGTTAAAATATATTCAGTGAAGAAGTAACTTCGTTTTGTTTGATTCATAATAAATATATTTAAAAACAAAACTTGATTTATAGGTACAAGGAAAATAGAAAACAGTAATGTAATTTGTTAAATATTTAATTATACTTAGTTATTTTTAAAAATGACTATTTTGGCGAAATATTGTCATTTTACTACTTATGAAAACACATGCCAAATTCCCACCAAGCTTTCAATGAGATTTTCGTTTCCAAGGAGCACAAACTTGGAAGCTCATTATGTATGCGACGTGTTCGCCTACAATGACAAGTAAAATTTTAAAATATTCTTGTGCATTATTCGTGTTGAATTATAATCAGCTCATTATTAATCGTATGCAAGAAAAAGAGGCTAAATCTATAAAACTCAATTTTGTACAACACCAAAGCAAATTTCAAATAAATAATAGGCATTCCTACAAGAAGGAAAGTTAAGCTGTATGGGCATTTCAAGTAGCAAAGTTATATACGTTTTGGTAACTTAATAGGTACTAAAAACATTTTCTGGACCCAAATACAAAAACCTACCCATTAGATAGGTAAAAGAACCCCAAAAAAGATTCGAGGTTTTTGGCCAACTCTATCCTAGAGCCTCCTTCTCCACCTCCCAGGACGTGAAATCCTCGATTTTATGCAACTGCTCTAATACTACTGCTGATGTTCATTTCTGATTCACCCTTCGATATGATTTTACCGTCCTCGTTGTCCGTCGGGACACACCTGGCACGATCGTACCTATATTGTTAAATCCCGATGGGTGGGCGTGAGTGAGATTATATATATATTTTTTGTGTCTTATGGAAAAAAAAAATCCTGACAAAATATTGAAAAATAAAATATAAACACATTGGGCGGTGCAAATCCCCGTTGTATTGTGATTGAACAGCGAACACAGCAACTGGTACCTGTACCGAACGCCTATATAAATAGACCATAATAATAAAACATTATACTAGGTATATGTGATCAAAGGTAAAGCCACCGGACGGCGACAATGATATGATACAGAGCCGAGGAGGGAAACCAAATCTAAAATTATTATTGTGCCCGACGACGGAGGCGGCCTCTGTGCCGGTGGAGACGGTCGCCGACCGCTTGTACAAGTTTCGGTACTAGCAACCCTCATCAGTCCACGGTCTCGCCGTCAACCGTCCGGTGTTGGTGAATGTCGTCACCGCCACTGTTAATTTTATGTGCCTATTTTAAAACTCACGTGTTTGTAATTCGATTCGTTTAATTTTTTTCAACCGCAATAATATTTTTTATCCATTTTTCATTTCTTTCTTGACCGTCTCGATTTTTTATTAAAATTTTATTGTTTTTTTTAAAGGTGTTGTACCTAACACTCGAGTGTTAGATTTACCTACCAACAGCAGTAAATCGCTGTTGATCTGTGCGTGTTACTGTCATCGTTCAATTTCGATAACATTACTCAAAACGGGCGGTTTAATTGGATCGCCATAATAATATTATAGACAGTGTTTATCTATTATAATATTTTATCCACATCGAGAGCGTCCAAAATGGAAGACGCGAGCGATTACGATTATCTGGAATACACTTACCAAGACTACAGGAAGAGTAAGTTGCCTACATAAAATCATAACGATGTTTTGGGTATATAAATATTCGATTTACCCCCCTCCACCCTAGAAAAAAATTCAACATATTGAGTACATACGGTACTTACGGTCCGCGACGATGTGTAATTCAAATTTATTTTACGGTTAGTGTAATTTCGAGTAGGTACGTTATCTGTTTAATATCAGTCTTAAATTTCGTCCTATACACATGATTTATTTTAAATTTAATTAAGTAACTTTAAATACTATTGGTGTGGCACTGGACTTTTGGAACAACTGCGTTTTCTACTTTTTCAAGCATTTTTTTTTTTAAAAACTTTTAACTGTCGTTCAAAATAATCGTACCTAGTGTCTATAAAAAGATTAGAAAATCGATCTAATGCCTAATCGTGTAAACTAGGTATTGTATTATCAATTACGGATCCATAATTCAATAATTACCTACGTTTTTTTAAGTATATATATTTATACATAAGTACAGTGACCCATGTCCAAGTTTAATAAACTTGACATAGACTCTACTCTCTAAGAGTAAATGTTGTAATCTTAGGCTTTCATATTTGTACACAACGAGTGTAGAAGTGTTGATAATATTCAGTTTATCAAAAGAGTGCACTCGTCACACCTGTCTAATTATACCAACAACATTATATTCTATACTTTGTGTGCTCTTATGGAAAATGAAAAATCTAATTAACCATAAGTAACTTAATGAATTATTGTGACATTTTGGACTCAAGGTATAGGTCTAACCATGAGTTTTCAGTATTGCAGTATATTTTGTATGCCTATTTTGTTGTTTAGATACTAATTTTTAATGTACAGTTTAAAAGGATAGTTTTGGACTTGAAAGGTCTGAAAATTAGGCTGATGTTTAGACCTGTCTATACAACATAAGATATTATGTTATATAGACAAATTTCAAAAATCTGTTATCAAACGCTGTTTGTTATAAAGTTGTTTGTCGAGGAAGTAGTAAAACCCCTAATTATATTGTAATTATAAATACACTTTTTGTTGGTACATTATTTTAAGTCGATATTTAATTATTTTACAATCCACAAATAATATATTATGAATTAAATAAATATAGCATACATAAATAGTTAATTGACAAATAGCTGTTATGGCAAGTGGCCACCTACTTGAAATTATTTAAATAAATATTTGTCTATACTTCTAACAGTTCGGATGACTAATTATTGTTTACAGACTACAGCTGACAGGGTGATAAGAATTATTAATACTATTAAAGTAATTATATATACAGCTGTCGTCAGATAGTCAAGGGAAATCCGTTTGAACCGTTCGGTGGCATCGACGTTAAAATAGAAGTTGGAACCAAAAGTGTGCATACTAGTGACTTTTCAGCCTACCCGTGTAAACTGTCCAGTTGGTTTTATAAAAAATATATATAATAACTTTAAATAATTAGTAACTAAAAACTAATATTTTTGGATTTGAGACACGATTTTGTTTGATTGGAAAACTACACAGCGTAGAATACTAGAATCGATGGGAGTTCCGTAAACGACTAAATCAGTCTTTAAAATTATTACATATGTATTATATTTTCTATGTTTATCAAATTTAATCATAATGCCTTGTTTATCTTTTCTGTGCAGAGTAGCTCTGTTTAACGGTGATTATCTGTCATCGGCGTGTGTACAAAAATAGAGTTACCGCTCCCATCGCGTCGTTAGTAGTCTGTACTCGCTGTAGGTTATATGTATTCATTTATTACAATTTATGTGCATACTCCATACTAAGTAGATACATTGTATTTAAAGTAAACTTAATATTATGATGTGATAGTGATAAAACATTTTTGAATTCTCACTTAATGTGTCACATCTCGAAAAGTGCTCGGAAGTTGATGTGTTTTGCATCACAATGATTGCAAGAGTTAATTTATCAATATCCATATGTCCATTTATGGGAGTTAAGAACATACTTTCGAATAATTATTTTGCATTTGTGTGGTTTTTTTTAACCTTACCACCGTTGTACTACGGATCTAAAATTTTTAAATATTTTTTTTTTAGGTCGACAAGATACGATTAGAATCATTATTTGAACGTTATCGAACAGTCCGAGTTGAATAATTTCAAAATTTAATTTATTCGGTTTATGATTCTTTTATTATGAACCACTCAATATCTCATAGGGTTTAATAAGAAATTACAATTTTTTTTTCCATATTGTTATACAATGTGATCTCAATTTTTCACAATTTTTTTTTTGGTTTTTTCTTAGTTTTTTCGATAGCGACTTTTGAAACTTAAATGGTAACGTATATATTTTATTAACTTTTTAAATTAAGAATAATGTACTAAAAATGTTGACTGGTCGATAACCAGTTTTGGAAAACTATTTTTAAAGTTAGGATGGGACTCCTCCTGAGAAGTGAAGTGCGGTTGGGAAATGCGCGAAGATAAAAATAATACTAAACCCTATGAGATATTGAGTGGTATATGATAAAAGAATCACCCTGTATTGCACGCATTGATAGTAAATAAATAATAAATAATAAATAATTGCCGTATTGAGATTACTTCGAAGCATTATTCATCACTTGTGCTCTCGCGCGTTCGGCGTAGCTGCTGTTGTTTTAGTTGATTTACGGACGCTTTTGATTAAAAAGAAGAATAAAAAAAATGCAATTTACTATACTACAGTACCTTGAGATAATCATCTCGTATTTCTTAAACTACGGAGAGCATTGGGATACCATTAGGATTTCGACGTCGCAAAACAGCAGTTTTATTGGTGTAAGTTTAGATGAATTGCATCCGGACGTGTCGGCAGACGAAAGTGATATTGGTATTATAATCGATGATGAATTACATCCGACAACGTCTACGCTCTATGGAAGTTCTGAGGAATTCGATTTGGAAACATCCACCATGTCGCAATACAAATCCAATAGTGGTATGTACTGTACTTGTCTTTATATCTAAATGATATCAGTTCCAAATTATTTTGAAATCCATTGAAAAAAAAACAATAAATAAGAAGTACTACGTTTTCGATCAGGTATAACTAAATTTAATCTTAATTACTTTTTGTAGGTTATTTGTTGTTGTATTATTTACACTTCAATATGTTCTATCTCGTTCATTATTCATTATTTCGTTGTTCTTTGAACATAATGTCACAGTCAAGTAGCATATTTTGGAGGATTTGTCATTGGGTGTCTATTGTGCCTACACCCTATTCATTTATATCATCGGTTTTCAAGTAAATAAACGACGGCTAACGAGGATGTCACGTGACCAACAGAAAACAGTTCCCCCTCATTTGTTTTGCATGTAAAAATATATATTACCAGTTTTCGAGATAACTGGCTAAATACTTAGTCATTGAGCAATTTGCAGTTAAACGTTAAAATAATCTTGTATGAAAAAATTAATCGTCAGTTTATACTTATGTGTAATACAATTTACTATCACATTCGCATTGGTCAACACAAATAAATTAATAGATAGATTAGTGCATTTTTGAGAAATTAAGTAATACTTTTTACACATTATGTACAAATATTGGAAGCGAAATATTCAATTGTTTATGTGAAATTTAAATGTTTGTAAAATTGTAATTAATTATTCGACATATAATAATTTTACAAATTTTTTTCAATACGCACAGTGTATTGTATCTACCTAATACCGATCGATAGATCCAAAATATCGTTTTTCTCTATACGTACTTTTAAGTACAAAAATACCGCTATCTCAAATTTGATATTCTTTACCAAAGCATTCCTAAGTGGTTTGATTTGTATTTTACCACGTACGCGTTTTCGTCAAAGCGTATTCTGGTTTAGTTGGTATCTTTGTGGAAATTGAGAAGCGGCCAATTATTTAAGTACCTGATGTGTAGTGCTCATGCTTTAACTTCAAGTACAAGCCACCCGTTCTCGTTGGATGTCATCGTCGGAAAAAAAGATGAAATGTGATATGTGTGGTTTTTTTTTTAAACACTACTGGGGGGACTTATTATTCTCGAAGAGTTTCATATTTCATTGTTATTTAGTCATATTAGGTGTATATAAAAACGCAAACGCTATTGTTGTTAAATTTTTTCACCACAAACAAAAAAGTCGATTTGACCCTCGTGTGATAAAAAAAAGTGTTTGAATACATTTGCCGTAGTTAGGTTTAAGCTTAGGGTGTATAGTGAGGTTAGCATTTACATATTTAGCACAGTATCTGGCTGTAATTGTCGAATGTTAAGAATTTGTTGTCAGTAGGTTGATTGTAGTATTTGCAGTAGTTGATTGGAGTGGTACTTACAGTTTTTTATGTAAAAACTCAGGTTTCATGAATTATTTTTGCAAAAACCAATGGCATAATGAATTTTTTTAGTATTGTTCAAATATCTTCCGTCATCAATTAATAATGTATACAATTATACGGCGGAAACGAATCCATCCGAGTTCTTTTACCAAATCAGTTTTATTTCTCAGTGTACTTTTTTTCTAAGAAAATATTTCCGGGAACGAAATCAATTGTTATTTTTTTACTGTGATATTTCTTGTTAAGTCATATTTATCATAATCCATATACCTATTGGTATAGGACATAGGTTAACGTTTTTTCATGCTAGAATATAATACTCTAACCGATTTTTACCACCCTGTTAGTAAGGAAAATTCAATGCAGAATTTTACTAGTATAGCACATTTTTCTGAATTAATTACAGTATTTCTTCATATGTAATAATTGTTTTAGTCATAAAAATAAAAAAAAAAATATCGCATTTAAAAATAATATAAAACATTTACGCAGCTGAGCGCTTAAAGTAGTTTAGGTGAAGGTTAGGTAAGGTACATTGATTGTGCACACAGAGGACGGCGTAACAACGTCTATTTGATATATACCTATTTAATAATACTGCATAAATCCTTAAGTTGACAGTTGCGGGTAATAATTATCAAGAAATTCTGAGCCGATTTTGTCCTAAATCAACAGCCTGGGACTTTCGCACAAACTAGGGCTTAAAGTATAACTTAACATTAATTTTACGTCTCGTTCAACATTTAAGCGGTTTAATCAAAAACCCAACTGTAAAAGGATTGAAGTTTAAATAGCACCCGTTTTAAATTATTTTATACCAAACAATGACCAGAATAACCAAAGAACATTGGACCATCACTATTTATTAAAGATATCGGACGGACAGTAAAATTATTATACATTTCAAGGAAATAAGCACTGTGGGGTTCAGGGTTGAGAAATTATAGTGAGATTAATGACGTCGCTAGTCTTTTGGAGTTATTTCTTATTAGTTATTATTAATACGGAAATGTTATCATTAGGTATCAACATGATAGACATTTAACAAAAAAAAGTTTTTTCTCGAGTCTAAAATATAAAAAAAGTGGAGAATTTATAAAAAATGAATTTCTGTAAGCATACACATAATTTTTTTGAAAATTAAGACTTATTTATTACTCTGTCGAAGTTCCTCCTCTATGAGGCCTCTTCACTCCATCTGACTTTTGTAAGTACTTCATCTATTATGTTAATTATTCTGCATTGTGAAATATTACATAAATACAATTTAAATAAACAAAAAAAAAATAATAGACAACTTGAATCCAGAATCACATTTAATTTTATAGTAAATAAAGCAGTTTGATGTTTTTTTTCTAGATTGGATTAACATTTTATTTATAGTAAGAAGGTCTTAATTTTCTCGAAAAACTATTTTTAGGACATTTTGAACACAAGAAATTACTGAGTTTCCTGAACGATTTTGGACATATAAGTTATCTTATTATAATATAATCATCGAGCAAATTATTTGTATATCAATTGTTTTATATTATTTTCTACAAAATATTCGTATTTTATGCTCTTAAATAATATTTTAATAGGTAATAAATATAATGTGACCAAATGTTATACAACTCTTCAGCAACAAATTTCGGCCAGTGTGGTAAATAATTAGTACAAATTAAAATAATTATATAAGAGCGTGAATATGTTACATCCGACAAATTATACAAAAACTTGTGTTAACTTTATACAACATAAAAACTCGAGTCGTCAATGGCTTTTGCTTAAGTACTATACACATCGCGTAGACTTTAACGGAAGGATGTAATTATCCTTTTTGTTTTTTGGTTCACACGTCTTTTTAAACGTCGTAGGTTCTCATAGAATTTCACCGTTTTATTTTTCCGTTGAATCATTTAAACGTTTAAGCGTGAAAGTTGACCGAAAAAAAGTAAAATTACCAATGTAAAATATAAATAAAACATAAAGATCTTATTAAAAACATAATAGACCATGACACGGCAAAAATGGTTCATTCTACATTATTTTATTTTATTAAATTATTATGTATTCACAACATACACCTTAATGTAATTCTCTAAGAACCAAGTCAAATAATCTTTTTTTTGTTTCCGGGGAGAAAACAATTTCCATAGCTTTTATAATCATTCTCCTCTTCCTCTGTATCCGCGCGGTAAACAAAGAACCAAGGCCGGCGTTTAGTGAGGGGGAGGGGAGCAGGAGTGTTAGCTGACAGTAATTGTCTTCAGAAATGATTGTAGTTTTTTTTCTTATCTCCGAAATTTCCAAAACGGAGTCGGCAACAAAAACCAATCGGGTTAAGCCCAGCAATGTTTGGTATTTACCAAAAAATATGGGTATTATGAGGTTTATGCAGAATCAAAAAAATCTAAGCGAGTTGGGCTTTTTAATAATATAACCCCAGATTATTGTCAACTCTAATGACAGTTAGTTTTTAGATAAAGGTAGACTTCTGGACTTTCCGCCTAAAAAAATAATCCCGACGGCGTGAGAAAAGTCAAATTCAACACGGTAGCCGTTGAAGGTCAAATACGGTCTGATCAACGAACGGCTTATGTGTGAACCACGGTTGTCTACATTAGTAGACAACCGTGGTGTGAACTCAGCCTCTGTCCACGCTCCATGGTGTAAACGCAACCTGTGCCTTATCACAACACGGAAACAGCCGCGGACGAGAACATAAATTAATGATAACAAACCCACATAATAGATACACACACACAAACAAAGACATTCACATACACACCAATTAACAGGGAATAATGACTGATATTATAATTATTATGTTTCAATAGTTGCAAATTTGTCTCGTAAAAAGTATCTACCCCCCATTCGCTTGTCTGTACGTTTCTCGGTAGTTCGATTTCATCATGTAATTAAAACCGCAATAAAAATAATCGACCAATGCTGTATTTATCAATAATTGACTATAATTTATTACTTTTTTATTTTGTTGTTTTTTCTCCATTGTTCTTGACTTCAGTCGAATAAACACAATAAAAGTGTCGCCTCCGAGACGACAACCAACAACGTAAGTGGTTTACTAGTAATAATAATTATTAGTATTACTATTCTCTAAAATGTTATACTATATAATTCAAACAGTAGTCTGTAATAATAGCTAGTCTAGATATTATTGTTGTGCCCTGATACATTACCAATCGTTTTTGTGTTAACAAATTCATATTGTACAGTTCAAGTTGTAATAAAAAAATATATTGCATGGTACTTTTTGAAACATTAGCGTCAGTGATAAATCCTTAGCCTTAAACGTACCTAGGTAGTGTTTAAACATTACATATAGTTAGCGCTGTTGTACTAATTTCTTTCAGTTTTCGATGTGTCTACCGGATATAACTGAACGTAATGGTATGTTAGCTTTGTTTTATCTAATTAGCAATTTTTCATATTATTCCTTCTTGCGCAACAAATAATATTTTCAATTGTAAAGTCCTTATCTCAAAGGTAACTTAATAAACATTTGTGTCATTGTATCATTTATTTCTGTATAAATAGGTTTCAATTTTAATTTTTGGTTATTGTTATTGCATACTGCTATTTTCAATTTAATTTGGTTTAATGAGTTGAGCATATTTTGCTGTTGGGCACAAATTATTTTATGTTTACTTTTTAAATTAATATTTAGTAAACTGTAGGGGAGACCTATATTATAAGTCATAACAGTAACAAATGATTGTGTTAAATTTGACTACTAAGTTTGATTCGTTCCTATTGCCCCTGACCTACAGTAATCTTTTATTTTTCTTCACAATAATACATTTTTGGTTACTTGTTGCCCAATTTCCTGGCTATTGTTTCTAACTATATAAACATATCAACTCTTATAAAACATTTCCTGTTGCCCTTTTAGACATGTTATATTTATGTCATAATCATTATAGGTATACTTATCTCGGAAATATTATCAGATATTATTGTATATTAATTAGAAGTAAACATTTGAAGGACATATTCTAATGTGCCTTATAAAATAATAACTCTAGTTCTGAAAACAGGTTGTGTCTAATATAGATCTAAAATGTATCAACTAAAAAACTGTACCTACACCAAAAATAATTACCCTTTACCTAAGCAATTGTGTTATTAAAATATTTATAATGCTCTAAGATATGATTGTCTTCAGTCTATTCAAGTTAACAATTAATCAACTTGTTTATTGGGTTAGTTTTGAATTTAAAATTTTTCAACTTGATTATTTTAAAACGAATGTCATGAAAATGTATTTTTATCAATTGTTAAAACTACTGACTGTAAGTAATTGCAACCATTTGAAGTTTTTATTCGAAAAAGAAATGATTACAGACGAGTAAAATCTATAACAAATTGTAATGTGTTTTAACTATCTAAAAAAACAAATAAATTAGAAGGATACAAAATATATTTAAGCTAAATTTAAAAATAAAAATTGATATTTAAAAACATTTGTTTTTTTTTCAGATGAACTCATACAGCCAGACATTGAAGATAAATCAGGTGCTACAGTGTTTAAGCAATCGACTACATTGACAGCGAAAATGTGGCCTCCAGTATGTAATTTTGTATGATGCAAAACTATTTTAAATAATATAAAATTGTATTCTAAGCCGATTTTTTTTTAAACTTAAGAATACTAGCACATTCAATTTTCTTATGATAAACGGTATTTAATTTTGTCAAGAAAAAAAAATATGAATTAACTTATCATAATTGGCCGTCATCTGAAAATTTTAATTTTAACATATAAGGTCATTAAATTGTACATTACATCATTGAGTGTCCGTGCCAAAACATTTTACCCTTAGCTGAATAGTTGGTTTCAAAATTTGGCTAAAACTTCAAATTGGAAACCAAGAATTAGTTGTTTGTTCGCGATAATTAAGATAAGATGCTAGGGATTTCCAAAATATCTAATATTTTGTGCATTGCCTTGTCAAGCCTTGTCGGTTTCTTTTGCAAAAATGGTTATTTTCTATTAAATTTACAAATTGTAATAAAAATGTGTAATAATAAATTGTTTAACATTTTTATAGGATATGTCCAATAATTACAATTGGGATTTGGACATTCTAGGATGGCAACTTGATAAAGATCAACTTTTAGTCCTTATTATATGTACCATAGTAGTTATAGTATTGATTTCCTCAACTCTCGTATTCACAATTTGGTATTGCTGTTTTTGCAAAAAAAAAACAGGTATAGTCTAAATGCAAATACTCAAAGCTATTATAATATATTATATTACTACATTGACATTTTTTTTCCAATTTATTTGTTTAGTACATAGCAGCGATGAAGAAGAACAGAGGAGTAATTCTCATATACCCGGGTAAATATTATAAATATAATGTGTGTTAAAATTGTAATTTTAACAGTGATATGCCAGTTTTTGGATAATTATTATAAGTTAAAATAAAAATGATTTATAAAATATTTAAAAAAATATATATATACATGGTGTCTCAGAAAGATTTAACAAATTAAATAACTTTTGTTTTAGTGATTGTTTTTAAGATTTCTTTTGTTAAATTGATATAAATTAATGAGTCTAAACGCTATGGTTTGTATTGCTCTTAATTGTTTTACTTTTTTTTAAATTTAAGATAACCTTTTATTATGAATAATTTGCTGAAAATGTTGAACACCAGTTTTGGATAATTACTTTTAAAGTTATTGAAGTTATGAGTGTAGGATAGGAGGTGGATGCGGTAGAGTAATGCGTTCAGATACAATTAACTCGCACACTTTACCGCACTCCACCACCTGTTTTATATTTTACCCTTTAATAACTTAAAAAGTAATTATCCAAAACTAATTAATGACTATTCAAAATTCTCATATAATTTTTATAATTATTTTTAATAAAATGGCTATCTTGATTTAAAAAAAAAAAAAAAAAATTAATAAAAGTAAAATAGTTAAGTGCCATACAAAACAGTGTTTATAGCGCCAATGAGTATAAATCAATTAAAAACATATTTACTAGAATAAAAGTTATTTAATTTGTTAAATATTTGTGGGACATCCCGTAAATACATATTATATTTATATTAGGGTGGTAAAAAAAACGTTAAATTAGAATTTTATTTGCAAACCCCTTCCCATTTTTTTATGATAAAAAATAATTCTGTGAAATTTGGGTTTGATTACCCCAATTTCTTCAACACCGATTAAAAATTAATAATTATTATTTTTTATAGGTACTCCACTGTGTTTTTAGATCCGAAAACCGGGAATTTTGTATATAGCAATCGAATTGTGGAACTGTTCCCTGAAAGAGAAGGTTCTCCTGATAATTGGTTTTTCAACGATCAAATAGACGAGCCTCCCACGTTAGTGACTACAACTTGCGTACCACGATCCGCATCTGTGCCTCCGGTGAAACAGCTTCAGTCTTTTGTAAGTGGCAACATAATATGCAATTGTAGTTTTGCGCCTTTAAATGTTTAGATGTATTTTAAACTTATATTTTAGGATCCGTGTATTCGGGAAATTAAAGAATCTTTGAATGACCATACATTAGAAGAGCCGGATTTACAATATGCCGACAACGACACACAACACGACCCCAATTGCCCTATTCCAGATACGTTACCTGAAATCTCCGAGTTTAATCCCAATCAGTTTACTTCCAGCAGTAGTAAGTGCTTCTTGTACATCAATTGATGCTTATCAAACAAATTTTCTCTTTGTTGCTATTTGTTTATTTATTTTCTTCATTATAATTATCGAAGATTTTGATTGTTACTGATTAATGAAGTGTCAAACCATTTTGATTTAAAATAATAAATAATTACTAGTATGTTGAAGTTAGCTGTATTAAAATATTTTTTTATAATTATTATAATATAATTTTTTATATTGTTTAAAAATTAACCCTTAAATGCACGCTAAGCAGCACGGCGTACCGCATTTTCGCGCCATTTTAATTTACGCGGTTATTGGCCACGTGATTACACCAAGACGCCATTCTATATGTTGTATTATCAATACACTAGATGATCATGATAGCATTGCATTATTTATGTTGTCTTATCAGTGCTCAAATAGTAGTTCAAAGTGGTCAGATCTGACATTGCGGCACTCCGTATCGCTAGCGTAGTTAAACGTTACAATTTAAGACGCGTGCACTTAAGGTTTAAGCTTTATTAAACATTGTCGTATTAAACTAGAAAACAATAGTCTAATCGAAAAAATGATTACATTAATTATTAGATATTTTACTCTTAACTTAGAAAATTTAGTAAATAAAAAAAATTATATTTTTAATATTAGCACTAAAGATCAGTAAGATAGCTTTAATTTATTTCTTTATTAAGTAATTTGTTGCAGACTTCATAGAAATAACAAAATAAATAATTTAAATTTGTCTAAGTTTAGATTTTTCAAACAAATATTTAAACTTCACTTGTAAGTTTGAAATTTAAAAATTTGTATTTAAAAAAAAAAGTGTTTATTTATAATTTTAGAAATTAAGCTAATACATTTTATTTTCTGGGTTTTTTCACGAGTTACTTTATGATTAAACATTTTTCAAGCAAACCAAATCCCTTATAAAGTTTTAACAATATTGTTCTTCAAGACTGTCTTAAGCAAATAAAAACTATATGTTGTTTTTTCTAATAAATACATGGACTGTGTTTAATGTTGGATTATACTCAAATAAATTTTTTACTTTCAGTATTGGACAACTGTGAGATGTGGGACGGAAAAACACTTACATTGCGTACAAGAAGTCTTCCAGCTAATGTTCGAAATAAAAAACGACCGTTTTCGACATCTGATAACCTATCAGAGCTTTATGCCAAGGTATAAATGCAGATTTATTCGAATAATTTCTTATCTAAATGAAGCGATAAATAAAAAAGTATAATTTATTCAATTATTTCTATAATATGAAGTTTTACAGGATTTAATATATCTGAAAGTGATGAAACCACTTGGTTACAGATCTGTAAAATATGGTAGATATACAAATATCGTTAAAAGCATTGTACCTATAATGACTATAAATTATAATGTGCTTAAAATTATATTTTAAGTACTAAGAAGGATACGATAGGGGTGTTCTTACGTCTATAATAATTTGTTGCTGTTGTCACCTCTGTATTCATGGTTTACAATACAGTGAAAATATTTTTAAATATCTGTTGACTGTTAATTCATTCACACATAGCAACCTAGAATATGACTTCAGTAAAAGTACAATTTTCCCTAATGAATTATTGTTTATGTTATAGATCAGATCCTAACCTAACCTACCATCAGACCTTAAGTTCTAAAACTTTTTTCGAAAAAGTGAAATAAAGGAAAAATGTCCACCTCGGGGGAAACGGTTTATAATTTTTTGGTTTGTCAACACTTCTCGATAAAATTTTGTCTTATTATATAAAAATTTGGAACTATTTTAAGAAAAATTATAGAGCAGTTTAACTCAGTTGAAAAATATTTAAATGTTTTTCTAGATTTTGAAGGGAAGGGATAAATAATAAAGTACCTTCCAGGTCGATTTCTAATCTACAGACTTGTTACTTGATCGAATTAGCGGTTTGAAAGATATTGGGTTCACACACAATAAAAAAATATATAAATATTAAATAACATATCCCTATAAAACCAATAAATTCAAAGCTAAAATAAACATTAATTTATTTTGTCGTAGGTTAATTTCAGCAAGAAAAGGAAGAATCGTATGAGAAACGATGAAGCAGCCATAATAGCCATGAGCAAATCCAGGAGTCAGTTCCTCAACAAAGACACAGACGTGCTGGTGGAAAACGAAGCTGTGATCGTTTATGACGAACGGACTGCGTTGTAAATCAATGTGATACTTGTAAATTAATTTTTAAGTTTACTGTTTCGTAGATAATCTCTGTGTTATAACACGTACGTGATACTTATTATTATTGTTCTTCTACGACCAGGGTCGATACAAAACTTGCACAGCCTAACGCGTGTATACAGGTAAAAATAGGTTTCGATTGTTTGATGTAACAATTTGGTATTCGACATTTATTATTAATTTGTGTAAACTAATTTTTCTTTTCGTTAATAACTATTCTATATTTATATGAATCTAAAATAAAAAAAAATATTTCATGTAATCTCTACAGTTTTTACTCTATTCTATATTCTATTGTTTTTTTTTTGTACTATAACCATTTCTTATTATTACCAATTTATATTTAAGGAATTAAAATCAATAAATTGTACAATTATTATTATTATTATTCTACCAAAATTGATTATTTTTACTATTATTGTATATAATATAATATTACTAACTCGTACAAAATAAAAATGTCTTGTTTTGTCTATCACCTCCAATAATAATTAATATAACCGAGGAGACTAATAGAAATCGACAACTGTATGTATTATATTCAGTTTCGGATTTGAAAAACTAGCACCCTCTCTTTGCGGTAGTAATATTGTGGTTTTATTCTCATATTAAGTAATACACAAAATATCTAATACTAACAATTAACATAATAATATCTAGAAATATAATTATAACGACAAGGCTAACAGTATAAACTATGAACTCTATCAATTATATTATGTCCTAAAATTAAATACATGTAATATTTTACTTAATAATTACACGCTTAATATTATATTTATTTTTATATAGTAACGGCTATTATATATAAATACATAAATAATTTAGTCGTTAAGACTGTGTTCAAACATCAGCAATCAAAAATTAAATTAAATATAATTTATTATACCAAAGAGAATTTATTAGGTAGAAATAATTTTTTTGTTTTTGTACCAGAAAAAAATTCCGAGAACAATTTGTGACTACATACTAGTAGTTGATAATAATAATAATGATAATAAAAATAACGCCTTTTAAAATTGTTTTTTGGTTAAAATTAAAAAGGCTAAAGCTACAATAATAATAATCACAAAGGCATCGTTCTGTAAATGTTCACGTTTTACAATACTTTATTTTTTATTTTTATTAATTGATATAAAACAATACATTTGAGTAGTTTAAACAAACTGAACAATTTAATGGGTACACAAATATTTCAAATGGAGGAATAATAATAATAAAAAAAAGAAAACGTAATATTTACTATCACTGTTGGCCATCAAAAGAGTTAAATGGTATTTATAAACTAAACATATATATATATATATCGATTTGCCGAAGACTTTTAATGTTAAGTTTTAGTTTTAGAACACTCGTAGGAAAAAGAATCGTGGCTGAACCGAAAATTATTTATACGTCTTGATGTGATGAAAAAAACGAAGGAAGACGAAACCAAACTGTTATCAATTACAAATCAATAATTACATAAGTTGACTTGGTTTTTTTGAATAAATAACTATGTCTTAGGTACAAAATAATGATTGACGATATATATCCGAATAGACTTGTGTAACTATTCATACCGTGTTACATGATAGTATTGTAAACATCATTTGTCTGGCGTTTCGAGGCCAGCGTTGTTCATCAAGTCGGAAATATTCTTCTCCAAATCTTCAATACGAGATCCCATATCATCTAGTGTTAATCAGAGTTAAGAAAAAATATTGTCCAAACAAATATTTAGAAAGTGCAAGTTGTTAGTATTTTAACACAAAATTTCATTGTTTTCTTTGAACATTCAAACTAAACAATGGTCAAGTTTTTGTTTGTTTCGATACTTTTGCTTTAGGAATTGTTGCTTACACATATTTATTTATTAGGTAAACAAAACCATTAATAGATAGCAATTAATTCAATAAATCATAAATTGATTGATAAAAAAAGGATATTTTTTGATAAAATTTGATCGGACATACTTTGGAATTTATCTTTCATTTGTTGTAGTACAACTTGAATCTGAAAAATAAATACATTATATATTCATTTTTAGTAAGTAGTTATTTATTTTATTATTAATGAGCAAAGCCCAATGACAGAAAAGTTAATAAATCATATATATATATATATATATGTTTTTAAATATACAAACGAAGGCACAATTGGTTTTGACAGAAATATTGATGGTAAAAATTCCATAGCAATTGTAGCTAGATAAAAAAAAGTGGTTTTACACTCTTGATTGTTGTTGTTTTACTTTTTTTTTTTAATTTTGTGCTTGCTTAACATAAAAAAAATGGAATTCTGTTTTATTATATTATTTAATTAAAAATATTATTTGGACAATAGATAATATAAAAACTAGGCTTTCACAGTACGAAAAAAAAAAAAAAAATATAAGTGTAGAAAAGAAAATTTAATTTTTGAATAGTATTAAAATTACAAGCTCTAAGACTGTTTGACGTACAATCATAAATAAATAAATTGTTTTTAAATTGATGATTCTAGTTTTGGACTAGATCAATAATTCTACAATAATATGTACTTAGACTACTTAAAATTTGATCGTAATAAATCTAGTGGTACATAAGCCACCACTATAATTGTTTATTGTAATTGTTTTTATTGATAAAAATCGGAAATAATTATTAACTATACTTATTATTTATAGTTTTTAAGACTTTTTAAAATTTATATTATGGTTAACCAATTTATTTTGAATACGTTTTTTCATTTAAGCTGAATTTTTTTTAAGTTTTTGCTTCTTATACATTTTTTCATCCTATTTTCGAAGAGGTGAATCAACTATGTTATTATTTAAAAGTTTTTATGATTTCCACCAAAAAATATTTTTAATTATTTATTTTACATACTTGTCAATTAACGAAACTACCTAAAAAAATGTTTACCACATTACAAATCAACACAAACTAATATTAATTAAAATATATTAAACCTGTAATATATTATATTTTCTTGTTTAAATAACTATTAAGTTTTTAAAATTTTTATTAACTCTTAGTTTTTAAGTTTTATTTTTATGTTTTACATACTAGTTTCAGGCAAATAAATACATGTGTTTTTTTATGACAGTTTAAAAATTGTTTTTCAAATTTTTGTCTGTCAACATGAATTTGCCAAAATAGGTATCACTAAGTGATGCATAAGGCTGTTACTACAACCGTTAAATATTCGGAGTACCTATAATCAACTGTTTTTAGGTGCACGAAATAATATGAATGGTGAGCCCCAAGTAAGGGTAAAAACTTGTCAAGTTGTTAACCTAAAGAAATTCAAAGATGGAATTCCATGGTTTTCTAGACTTTGATATACGGAGGCCGGTCAAAGGCTATTGAGAACATTTTGGGGGTAGGTGTGCCAGCGAAGTCAGGGATGAACAAAATATTTTATGAGCTCGAAGTCCAGAATTTTAACCAAGGCTTCAGTATGTAATACATTATTATACTCACGTGTTCGTTCATTTCGTCCAACGATTTCTTGTCGATATTTTCGCCTGTGTTCTCCTCGGTCGGCTCGGTGTTCACTTCTGGTGGATTATTATCGCCCATTTTGGCTGTGTGTCTATTAGTGAATTTCTATATTGTTCGTTAGCCCGGAACCAGACCAGACGCGGGTTACGATGCGATTTGAATAGGCGAAGGCGACTGGTACAAAAAACTATAAACGACAGCCGAAAAGTGTTATCAATTTGTATTTATGCGTAAAGACATTGGAAACCAAAAGCCGTTGACAACGCTCATTGCGGCAATAGCAACAGCATGAACATAGCGCCGTCGCCAGTCAGGGGTTCCAAAAAATCACTGCACTCCGGTCAAGACGTGCCAACGGGATAACACAGTTACCACGAATGTTGCGTGCTACGATGTTATGTTACTCCGACATTTTTGTTACGAATGACAATTGCTTCGACGACAATTGACACGAATACATTTACAACGAAAATATGTTTTCGTTAATTTTTTTTATGCCACGATGTACAGTTACATCGAAGTTCCATTTTTAATTATTGCTTCGAATTACATTTACCTCGAATTCCAGTTACATCGACATGACTTATCAAAAAATCTTAATGTTATGATTTCGCTATTTTAAAGGACATTTACATTGATAAACATTTTATGGACCTTAAATTCCATTTACACTGACATGACCCAACAACTAATTTATATAAAACTATAAATAATAAATTGATAAACTGTAAAATTGTAATACTTATTCACTCTGTTACTTTATCGATACAAATATAGTATACTTAAGGTCATTTTATCAACTGCTTGTTAAAATAATTTAAACTTTATTTAATGCTAATCTTTGTTAAACTAAAAAATTGACTTTATCTATTTGACTCTTTCGGTTAAATTTTAGCTGAATATTAATCACAGTTAGTTAGCATATTATGGTTAGTTAAAAACTTTAAACTGAGAATTGAGATTAGTATCAATATTATCAAGTAATATTTAATTTTACTGAAATATCTACTATCTATTGTTTTATAATATAATATTCCTATATTATTATTAGTTATTTGCTTGCTTTTAGACACTTAAAACTTTTTATCGAATTATAGTGATGAGGTATACTTTATGATTGCATGTAACAAAACATAGAATTAACAGTTACATTGTAGGTAGTTATTTCAATGTAACTACCAATTCAATTCAAAACGGATGCGTAAATTATAAATATTGTATTACCTACACGTTTGATATAAATTGTATGCATATTTAATTCTAGATGACTGAAATAATTAGATTAGTAGCAGTAGTAGCGACCATAATAGTGACGCAGAAGTTTATTTTTTAGGTTATATTATAAACCAATATTTCAACGAAATTCGAAGACCTTGTTTATTGTCGACAAAAATTGACCACATAACCATATGGGATGACCAAGATTTTTTCGCATGTATTCATCTGAGTAAAAACAAGTTTAAAATTGTTCAGCAAGAAGTAACTCAAAGTTAAAATAACATTAAGGGGACCGCAGCGTGTTTTTTATAAAAAAATATTAAGTATAAATATCAAAGAAATAAAAACGCCACCCCATTGATAAAGTGTTTCCCTATACATTGTGAGAGTTTAGTAAATCTACCCCTTAAAGGGGTCGGAGCACAACTAGTTTTCATGCATTTTAGCGGTGCTTAATTAGACATACTTCTCGATGTTGGATTTTAATTTTTAAAGTATGTGTGGATTTGTTGTCAAATTGTCTGGGTTTCTTAGGAAGCCCATTTTTGATTTAAAATTTTATGCCTAAAATAAATTCAAATGTAATTCGGGAATAAATTATCATTGAATTTTCAAAAAAATAATTTTGGAGATCTTCAAAAGAGAAAATTGCAAATTGCCTTCCTAAAAAACCTAGACAATTTGTCGAAAAATGCATACATATATTAAAAATTAAAATCCAACATTGGGAAGTATGTCTAATTAAGCACCGCTAGTAGATGATATTTACCAATATAAAGTTAACAACATTTTTATTTTAACGTTTTAACTTACTTTAATTAATAATTATTAATAAATAAACCTTCTGTAAAACCCACTTTACTTAAGCTAGGATTAAATTTGATTGATAAATTCAGAATTTTTTTAATCTCCGATTAGTCTTAAACCGAGATTAGATAAACGACATTTTAACCGCCGAATGATAAAATTGTCCTTAACACTATATTTAAAATTTTTTCTTTTTAATAATAATAACAATAATGTATTTATAATAGTAATAAATTTACGCTAATGAGGCAATTTACAATTTGTTTACAACAAGTTTTACAATAATTTATTTAAATATGTACAACAATATGAAATAAACTTGACAAATGATTTACCAATTACAACTAAAATTGTAGAGAAAAATAAAATAAGTATAAAAAACTTGTAGAGTTAATAGAAGACTATAAATAAAAAATGTAAATAATAAATAAGCTAAGTTAAAAGTGCTTATTGAGAGCACTCAAAAAGCCAACATTTTGAATTGAATTACACGAGTTATAATTCGGTTTACTGGACCGAGATAAATTTGTCGTTGTGTAGAAACGTAAAATTGCGTATAAAATCGTAAACTAATATTTAGTACAATAAATGAATCCAATCATCATTTTTCAGAACAGTCTTATATTTATATAATTTATGATATAGTTATTTATTTATATGATATATTTAAAAATATATCATTTAAATTCTGTCAACATAGTATTTTACAGACGATTCAACAATTGGCTTTATTTTCTTAAAACTTTAAAAAGTAAAAAATATAGGAGTCGTTTCTGGATCGATTTTACAGAATTGATAAGGAGACTATGTTATAATTCAAAATAAAAGCATATTCAAGGACTGACCTAACCAAATTTTAGTAGGTTTAATGTGATTTATGCATTTTGTACTGTTAACATTTTAACACAGGGCCGGATTTATGGAGGAGTGGGGCTCCCGTTAGGTTGTTAGGGGGGAGGGGGGGGGGCTCACCATTAAAATTGGTATGAGCGTTAAAAAAAACAATACCAAGTAACATTTTGTAAGTTTTACAAAAGACAACATAATATAAAATTAAAATGCATCTCTATGGACACGCATATTCTTTATAATAATTTGTTATTTACAAAATAAATGATTGTAGAAATGATAACATTTTACTGATACTTATTATTTTCAATAATGAATATTATAATAATAAATTTAAAAATATTAACAATTTAATAATATTTTAATTGTACGTCCGTGATTCAGTTTTGTTTACAACAATTTTTGTTTTAGAAATTAGATTATATGTAGATATAATAACCTATAAAAATTCTCTATAATCTATATATTTTAGATTCTGTAAGATTTCTCATTTTAATTTTGATAGAATTATCATTATAAATAGTAAATACATAATCATATACAACGTGATTGCCACCGCCACGTACATTGTAACACGCAAACGACTAATAAAATCATTTTATTTTCAGAAATTAATAATATTATTAAAATTATCTGTTTTGACAAAAAAAAATAATAAACCAAATATTTATATTCCTAACCAGTATTAAAATTATAGGCTAAACTGTACTTAAATTTTACCCAAACTACTATAAACGGCCGTTAATGATATTTCCTAAGTACTAAAAATGTAATAATTATTTATGAATGATTTTAAAAATCTCAAATATATATATTATGCTTAAAATTTGTTTGCTCTAACCTCGACAAAATATTTAAAAAATAATTACACTATCTAATCACTAAATGGGATAAAGCTACATTTTTATGTTGTTAATTATGTTAATTGTCTTTTTTCAATCTTGAAAGATCCCATGATGTTGTGAGCCCTGAGTGAGCGGGCTATGGTCCTTTCTGGTATCCCTTAATCCATTATGTTGCGATATAGTGCCTAGTTAATATTTACTTATTTGTACAAACACTGAAGCCAAAAGTAAATACAAATACAAAATACAAATTGAATTATATCAGAGACGATTCTACAAAAAATGTTTAGAGGGGTGTTGAACAAATGTTTGATACACAACATTGATGTAGAAGATGAAAAGTAACAAGAAATAGTTTCATGGTTTGTATCACTTTTGATAAACAAAAGCAGATATCCAAAAGTCAAGAAATTTAACAGCATAATATAAATGTTTTTAATTTACCACTTAATAATGTCATTAAAAAAAGGTATAATCTATACTCTATACCGTTGATTTAAAATTTAAACACTGGTTTAGGAACCAAACTATTCAATATTATCACTTTTTTATAATACCAATTTGAGTGTTTTCACATATTAATCGTAATTAAAAACCAACTTTTATATTGTAAGTTATTGTCCATTTTATGTGACTCTCGTCTCTCAGTGTCATACAAAACCTCAAAATTGTTTATAATACCAGTCACAACGGATTAACAACAATATATATTCAAAAATCTATCTGAAACCTTTGGGACTTAATTTGAATCAATCACCTACATTCTAAATTATATATTACAATCAGATTTATATTTATTATTCATAAAAAAAATTGTTTATAAAATTCTTCTATCTTTTTTGTTTAACTTTTCTATTTCAAATGTATAGCCTACTGCATTCAATTATGTATGTCAACTAATTAAACATAACCCTTACAATGCCCTTGCCAAAGGTTTTTAACCAATAATTAAAAGAAAGATGTACTGTAAATTAAAATGTGCAATTAATAATAAAGAATACACTATAAAACGTAATTAATGAATTTAATATATTAAATTCATTATGTACAATAACCCGATTCTGTCTTTAAATTTATCAGTAGTTAGTCAAAAACTTTTGTATAGAGTTGGATTTAGTTGCGGAATGGACAGTGTTCGGCCCATTACAGAAATTAACTCATTCGGCCCACAATACAGTTCTAGCGACAACTATATTTAAATAGTAATTTGTAATTTCCCTGTTTGTACACCAAACGAGTTCCAAATCTAAGACATACAAATACTGATAATAATATATAATATATTTTCATTATACAAGTAGATTATATTCGTGGCAAATGACTGATAAAGCAATGTCGGAGTAACTACAAGTCGTGGCATGCAACATTCGTGGTAACTGTAGCAACCCGTGCCAACTGTCATTGCGCCCATATTTGGCACCCCTAACATTTGTGGCGCCCTTGACGCCCTAGGGCACTTGCCCCCGTTGCCACCGCCTTAGGCCTTAGCACGGTCCTGCTCTGCGCAGGCGCATAAGAGAGTAAAGTCTTTTGGATTTTGCGCGCTACCTTTCTTAGATGGGATGGAGAATATTAGGTACTATCCACAGATATATACCTATTACAACTAACTAAGAAATTATTCATAAATAACGGACGTTTGGATATTTTATAGATCTTCACTAGACATTATTAACGTTTGATATTATGGATATGCAAAGGTTACAATTTATATCTAGTTTATCTTTTGGATGTATTGGTGATGTGCGGGTTGGCATGTACAATTGACATACAATAATGTTTTTAATGAGTGTACGTTTTTACCATAAATGAATTCACTGTCAAAATGCGTTTTCCAATTACAAACTTACCTTCTGTCCATTAAAGGTATTCACGTTTACAAAAATAAATTAAACTGGGAAATTGTTTGAAATTGATTGAAAATGGAACAAAAGGTCGTTTTCGATTATCAAATGGTGGTACCTATCGTTAAAGGTTAATTCTACCTATTGTATATTATGTAGATATAAAAAAAGGAGCACCTAAAACGGAATTAAACGACACACCACCACGTTTTATCGGTTACATTTAACAGTGAAAGCTTTATAATGTACAAGTTTAATACTGTATATACTTAAATTCAAAATATCGACTGGCGCACCCTCGAGGAAAATGTGGCCATTTAAGCAACATAGTTTAACCCGAATTGTGCCAGCAGATTGCAGTAACTGTTTAAGTGAATAGACAATCTAAGTCATCAAGCCAAAAAATAAATAAGGTTTTATAAAAAGGGGAAGGTAAAACAATTTGCCCAAAAATTGTATTTTTCAACTAGGTTAGGATTACGAGGTTTAATTAAAGTAACGGGTGACAAATGTCTATATTAGCCCTCTCCTAACTTTAAAAGGGCAACCTTTAAAAGAATTTGAATTAAGTCCTGAACAACATTTTCGAATGGGTTCTTTAAATGTTTAGTAAGAATACACAAATGCAGAGATCAGATGGGCTTCTACAAATTTGTAAAAAGTAACTCGGGAGTTATACTGCACTAAACTGATATACTACTAATTTATACATATTCTGATAATTAAATTGGAAAGTTGACTAAGAAATTGGCGTAGCCCGAAAATAATAACTTAATTTTTTAGGGAAAACGTTTCCTTGTAAAACCAGTACTGCTCAGTTGCACATCGGACCGTTTAACAAAAATATTAAGGTTTGTCGGTTGTCACTCGTTGCTTGTTTACAGTAAATATAAAAACATAATAATTGTATTAAATCGACAAGTATTCAAACGATTAAATAGCATTTTGTTGTTACCTTATACGATTATATAAAGATGATTTTTACTTATATTATTATTATCGTTGAATATTGGCGATGACAGAAAAACGAAATGATATTTAGATAGATACAATGTTCAATAGTCTGTGGTATTGTTGTAGTTGCATTATATATGATTTTAAGCTTATTATAGACGATAATAATCTGATAGCAATAGCAATTGTTTAGGCGATAAGATTAAGTACACGATCTTATGAAGTAAGCTATACTAAATTAATCACCGTTAAAACCCAAACGAGACGGCAGCAACATAGTTGTTGCTTGTAAGATACCTACTAAATGCAGTGCACACACATTTTCCGCATAGGTTTTTATAAATAATCATTTTTTTTCACTGTCATGTATTCATCGATTCATATTAAAACCAGATTTTTTGTTTAGCTCGATTTTAACTACTATTTTATATCACTTCTGTGTTCTATTTATTAAATTTGTATTTTCATTACCAATCAATATGGTGAGAACAAAACAATCTATGAACTATGTCGGTAAGTCGAAACGCTAAAATATATAATTTGATTTCTGAATTTTTTTCTGTTTTTTTACGTTATTTGTTTAAAATAAATTAATTTGTTTGGGTCCTCATCAACCTTTTTAGACCTTTTAAAACCAAGTATGATGCAATTCCCTAATAAGTTCTATAACATAGTTTTTGGAAGGCCTAAAATTGCTTTAGTAAAAAATGGCCGTTAAGTGTTTATTAAGGAAATTAATATTTTATTATTACCTAGTAAAATAAGTTATCATTTATCAAAACACCAATTTCCAAGAAAACCATCACATTATCGTTTAAATAAAAATACATTTTTTTCTAGAATGACGACTTAGGAGTCTAGAATATTTTATTTTACTTATTTACTCCTGAGCAAAACCGACAAAATAAAAAATGGCAACCAATAAACAATCATGATTACTGTATTAATAAGTATACACTTTAGGTCAAGCTGTAAATTTCATTTTTGCAAAAAACTGCCTATACTTTACTCCTTCATAAATGTACGGGGTACCACGTCCTCTTAACATTACGAAACTTATTTATTAAAATGATTTTCTCCGTCACACAAGGGGTTTTATTGTGAAGACTAAGGGTGGTATTGGCTATTCTAACAGACTTGCAGCCGTTTTGGGTTTATTATTGTGGAACGCCTAGACAATCTTAGAAGATTACAGAAGGCCGGACTGGTGCGGTGTACGTTCGCCCCTATTGCCCGTAGGGTCCCACGAGGACCAACGACAAAAATACAAAACCTAAGCTGGGCTAAACATTACTAAGTAAGGCGAGGTCGTGTGTTTTTAAATTCAATTTCATCGTTTGTTCGCAGTTTCCGTTGGGAAATCGTCGAAATCGGCTGCGGCCGCTGGTAAGTCGTCAAGTGGCGGATCATCATCGTCGTCCGCTTCTTATTCTACAGGCGGGTTCGACAACGGTTCTTCAACTCCCGGCAAAAACAGTAAGTCCGTTTTATAGTAATATAGTAATATTTTATAGTAGTAAAGTACTTGGTAGTTGAGACAGTATCTAGTTAGTACACAACCTTTTCGATAATCATTACTGACAAGGTGAACATATTTAAATATCTTAATATAATATTTAACTTCAAAACTGACCAGATGTATTTAATTCAAAACCTATACGGACATGTCCCTATGGATGTCAAAGCCATATTAAGTAATACACCTATTCTCTCATACTATATACAATTGTCGGCCATGGTACTGTATAAATAAACCAAATAAAAAAAATTCATATAAACAACTATTGGCGTTTAAATGTGATAATCAGTTGAACACAAATAAACTTATTCTTACTTTTAAAAAAGGTTGGCTAAAGGTAGTTTCAAGTTTATTTCTTCAAGATAATATGTTTTCTACTGATAAGTGTAATGTAAATTAAAAAATATATATATTTTGATGCGTTGTTATAATCAGGCAATCTGTAAAATTTAGGTTTTAAACATATTTGATCAATAACATTTAACTTAATAGTCATTAGTCATACAGACCGAAAAAAATGTAATCAACGAGATATTGACTTTTGACTTGTAAATACCTTTAAAATTCAGTTTTTAAGTAATTTGGAATATGTCATGGTTATTAGGCTTAAATTGGCATTTTGTGCATACCATTGTATTATATTACACAAAATATCCACTCTTTTTTAAAACATTTTTTTTTTTATAGAAATATTTAATTATATATGTATTAAACAATTTTTGTTTAGCTCTAATTATTACATTTATATTGGTTTTTTTGAAGGGAGGGGAGGGAGGGGGGTTGTTAAACATATTGAGCAATAAAATTACGTTACAAAATGGTTCAGAAGTGTTTTCTCTGTTAAAATTAATTGAATGAGTTCTTTATCGGTTCATGGTTGTTTAAGTTGTGTTTTTATTTTTTTTTCGTAAGCTCCTCAATTTAACAACACAAAGCAGCTGCTCGGCATTGTATTTGTACATTTCTCAGTGCCGTTTCGAGACTTCCTTTTATTGTTATGTGCACAGCGATTTCTCGAATTAAGTCCATCTCTTTTATTTTCATTTTTCAACGTTATATATATATATAACGGTTGTTTTCCTACCACACCATTGTTTCTTGTGTCGTTTAATTTATTGTCAAAAGAATCTTCTGCTCGTTAAGAATTACATTAAAATGTTGTATAAATAATTGTTATGTAACAAATTATACTTATCATAATTTTTGAACACCGTGAAGTATGCTTGTTTAGATTAGATTTCAATGTTTACTAATTCAAAAAGACATTACCATCCAAAAGGACTGAATTAATTTAGGGATTGACAACGTTACCAAGCCAAAATTTACATTCTTTTTTATAAATACAACAAATGTGACCTAACTCCGTTTGAAACATACTATCTCAAATACTTTATCTTTATATGTTTCACTCTCAATATTCTTCCCTTTAACATCCTTCATCAAAACGAGCAGGGATTAAAAAAGATTTTGAAAATGTTGTTTATTAAATATTTTTATTCGCTATTTAATAACATTTTGTTGTATCTTTAATGTATTTTCAATGTTTGTAAAGTATAATCTGTATTATTATCTATTGAAAACTGAGATTAATTTCTTGATTGAATTATATCCGAATTATTTAAATTAAACACCAAGTTATTTTTATTTTTTATTAAACATAAATGATATAGGCAATGACAATAATATTTTTAATATTTATAATATTTTTATAAATTAATGTTTGGAGTATTAAAAGTAAAGTGTAAGTCTTTTGTACAAACGATTATTACCATTGATGTTTGTACAAAATACAAATAGGTGTACACGTCCTTTGATCTCGTCTTGTATTACTATAATTAATAGGCTATTATATTTTATTTATTTATTCGTATAACTTATAAGCAAATCAGTGTTACATCAGGGTCTAATATGAATGGGTTAATAAAAATAATAACGATGACATAAAACAGGATATAAAATAAGACGCGTGGACCATTTGGACGTGTGTTTGTGAATTAAATAGGCTATTGGATTTCTTTTAAATTCTCGCATTGCCCACTTACCTGGGTTATTAGTTTCGTGTTGTGTGGGTATGTAAATCTTTGGTTATTTGTGACGATTTCCAGATGAGCTTTGTAATAATTATTGTAGAATATACAAAAAGGCGAAAGCTAGTAAAAAAAAATGCATATTACCAGGTTGCTAATAAAATGTGTGCTTATGTGTTGCTTAGAAAAATATTCTGGCGGCAATCCAGTGTGTCTCAGAGAGACGCCAGTGTGGCAGAAGGAGATCACTTGTTTCTTTGGGACCAAAAGCCAATTGGCCAACGGGGACGACTCGGACCAAGATGATGACCCCCGACAAATGAATGGACCTTCCGGATCTTCAGCCTAAACACTCACCTTGACAGTTATTTAAATTTTATATTTATTTTATTTTCCACGAAATTCTAATTATTACGGTATTTATACATATTTATATATTTTTAAAAAAAAAATTATTTCCCTAAAAATATCTAAACGTTTGTACTCGTACAGTGAACATTTTGACTAGATTGCGTTTTAAACATAATATATATACATTTTTTTATGCGCGCGAGACTAAATATTTTATTTATGAGTTATTGATTTAAATAAACATAATACGTTCTTTAGCCGATTGTATTTTTATCCCGGTTGCAACGTCGTAATGCGTTGCTGCACAACAGTGTCTGTATGGTTGCATACATTGTTGTATTAAGGCGCAAAAGGTGGCAGTAAATCGACGTGAAAATAGTTCGGTTAATGGGGAACGGAAAGGGCTATTTATTAAGGGGCAACGGATAGGCAATATTTGAAAAAATCGATCTTATAGCCATTTTTCATATGCCTACTAATTTCAAGGGAAAGGAACACGTATTACAATTTTCTAGTTATAATACTTTTAAAGTGGCTTTTCTCCGAGTTTACTCGAGGTTACTTTCGTAGAAGTCAATTTCTGGCGTATCTATTGGACGGATTTCAAGTATTTTTATTTCTATGCAAAGCTTACTATTTTTTCTATGGGGGCTAAAAGGCTGAATTTTGATTTAGCATTAAAAAAGTAGTTAGATGTATTAGAAAAAACTATAAAAAAGTAAAAATAAAAATGCTTATTAATAATTTTTGAAAACTAAAATTAAAAATTGGCCTTTTAGCCACAGAGAAGATGTAAAACTATAAAACAATAAAAAAAAAATTGAAATCGGTTCAGTAGACACTTCGGAAAGTGACTCCGCTTTTTAGTCTTTATTTGTAAAAAAATTGTCGCTTTCCGTTCCCCTTGACTAAAATCTATTTATTATTAGAAATGGGCAATGTATATTATGATGTTTTATCAACTTGATCTACACATTGTAGGAGAAATAATAATGGGAAATGAATCTCCATAAAAAAAAAAAATAATGGTAAATTCCTTAATGGCAATAAATTGTTTTATATTTTACAAAATAAGTCAACATAATATTGTGACATACAACTTCACTTTTGAATGGCTCAAGTCACAAATAACAGTAATGTTTTGCACAATTTTTGTTCCACATATTATTGTATCTACCGTGGGCAGTTCTTACAATGTCTATTATTTAATAAATTTGCTTAGTAAACAAAACCGAATTGTTTTAATCAATTAGTATAATTTTATTTATTTATTTATGATAAAAATATATTTGTCGTCCCTAATATAGGTGATTTTTTTTGTAATCTTTATAGGTGAAATGGGTAATTTGTACATTTTAGAAATATAAATAAAAAAATAAAAATAAATTAACTGTTTTGTGTTCCTTTATATAAAATGAAGTGTAAGGTTTGGGTATTTAATTTTATAAAAATACCGATTTCTGTCTCAAAAAGTCAAAACTAAAAATGTGAAGTTAGTTAAAAATATGAATACAAATTATTGGCTTTTAAAAATGTTGATAGTGTTGTCAGTTAAGTTATATCTAAGAATCCATATTTTACAACATTTTTTAAGGTGAGCAAAATTGTTTTAAAACTTTAAGAAAATAAAAAATAAAATCGTGTCATGTTTCATATCAGGTCAAAGATAATTTCTTTTTTTCTAAAATCTAATATCATAGTTAGTCTCAGATTAATCGCTGAAAATTAAAAAATATTTTCGGCATTTTAGAACGGTGCATCAATTATAAAAATTATTGAATTGTGATATACATCTAAAAAACGATTCAAAACTGATTTTGTTAGTGATTATAATAAATATCAAAATATAAAGAAAAATAGTGAAAATATTGTTGATCTAATTTTATAAGAAACTATCTTTATAACGCACGCTTTAGCAATATCATAGTTTTCATATATTAGTTTTTTGAAACATATTTTCTTAACTGTCTTTTACCTTAAATGTAAATGTAAATTTTGACCGGGACACATTTCTTTGATAAACAGCTACGATAAAGGTATTATAAAAATAATTATTAACATAAATGTTTAGAACAATGATTTTTTTTGTCGATGAAACTGTTTATTATATTTTCTAACCAAACTTGGGTAATGTTTAAATAAAAACTGAAATATTTGTTTAACACAAATGGAAATTACTCAGATTAAAAAGTTGTTATTAAATAATAGTTGGAATAATTAAATCACTTGTATTTCTATTTAAAAAAAATACTTAAAATAACAAATTAGTTAAATAAAAATGTATTAAAATTAAGTTTCAAACAACTCATTAAATAATTATTTGCTATTTAAATAAAAAATGTCCAAGTTTTGTTTTATTTTGGGATTAGTACCCCTCTACGATGGGATTCATTTTTTTAGAGTTCTTTTTTAAATTGGAATTTTTCTTGGAACGAATTTCCCGGGATTCCAGAAAGATGTTTTTTGTGTCCTTTAAACTGTCACTGATTAGTGTCAGAGGTGGCGTCCATGCGAGTTAGGCTTTACTCGAGTAAACATTTTTATTTTTATTTCACCTCATTAGCAAGAAAACCTAGTTAATCACTTTAGTGCAATTAGACAGGCGCTGCTAAGGCAACATTTTAATCACAACATACACCTGCCAGTAAAATAATTAAAGTCTGTTCGATTAAACGCCCACAGAAAAGTCAACTAAATAAATTTGCTCTACGCTGCAAAAGTTTAAATTATTCAACGATGCTTTTCGACCTGATATTTAGAAACATAGTATTTTGTAAGAATCCAAACCTTCGCGCAATACAAGCTTGTCTGACAGAAGATTAATACAGAAATATTCAGACATTTTTACTTAGGTTAGTAGTCATTAGAGACATCAGTTATATATGACTGCAAGATGAGTATAACAAGAAGTTTACCTACGTAAATACTCAACTAAGAAAGTTCTATGATAATGTAAAACAGTTGCGTAGGTGGATTAACTGCTTAAGATGAAAAAGTTATGTTAAATGCATAATTCACATAGTTGAGTAATATTGTGATCTTCATTTCCTAGTTTAGTCACGCGTTAATAATTAACATGGGTTTGATTATGAACTTCTGCCAACTCAGAAAGGTCATGAAGTTGTCTAAACAACTATCAACACATATTGCAAATCCTTTAAAAGGGATTCAAATATTAATATACAAGCCCTAGAATTCGTTATGTGAAATAATTATTATTATATATAAAACACATTTTTATACATTTTATCGATAATCTTTATTTTAATATATTTTTAAATAATACAATTAATCAGTATATTATGTTTTGTTTATACTATTAAGCGCGTTTAACAAACGTATATAATATTATAATATGACTACTGTTGTAGAATAATACCAATAATTATGATAATAATATATTATGACTTATTGGAAAGTACATAGACAAAAAAACAAAAAAATATTCTAAATTATTCTATTAATAACATCTAAGAAAATCGTGTAAAACACACTTGAAAATCAAATTATACCTACTGCGCTCACCTGCTAAAATTGGCGATTAACTTCTAATAATAATATAGTGTTTTTATTTTTATACGATTAATTATATATTATTATAACAACTGTAAAAATCTCTAAACTATGGAAATGACTAAGAAAAACTAAAAACCTATACATACCCAAGTAAATACTCTTAAAATCAAATATTTTATGGTAGATTTCGGTCTACTAGTCAACTACAATAAAACGTCATCTATAAATACTAAAACAAAAGATTCACACAGCCCTTCGAGTAGAATACACTCGGGGTAAGCTCTAAAAAACGATGTACTCTAAGAGTATAATAATTACACATAAATAATATAATATAATGTATACTATAAATTATAATAATCTTTAAGTCATACAAAACAATATCTAGAAACAAGCTATACAAGGCGAGGATCACTTTAAATAAAATCTATTATAAAGATCTATGACAATATTTAAACTACCGTCGACAACAGTACAGTATAATATAAGTTTTAAAAATTGTATCGAATAAAAATCAAGGGAAAAAAATGAACACTGCAAAAAGTGCTGAACACCGTCAAATACAATAATTATAATCAATTACTTATACGCTATTCATAATACATATTTTCTACGTTCTAATAATATATATATTTATAGTTTAATAGGCAAGTTAATGTAGAACGCTAGTAATTATAGTGTAAAATATTTATCATTAACGGTTGGTACACCTGAAATAAGTGATAGTGAAACGCGCAGAACAAAATGTTATATAATATAATAGGTATGATATTGATATTTTTATTATAATTTTTTTGATAAAAAATATCATTTTCAACTCTGAAAAGTCGGAAAATATGCGAAACACACTTTAAAAAAAAACATTGTCGAATAGCGGATTTTTTAAAAATAGAACCGGGTGATCGCGGTTAAGGTCAATCATAAGGGACTTTGTGTTAGCTGATAAGTAAGAATAATATCTAAAAATTACATACATGTTAAATATGTTTATGATACCATTATTATTCCTAGTAGCTTTTCTCTGTCGAGATGACTTTTGTTTTTTATGACTTCAAGTTTTTTTTATCACAATTGAAAAAAACATTGAGCACTCATTACAAAAATCCGTCGAGTGATCACAAATCGATTGTACCGGCCAATCCGTTCAAAACGCTACCGTAACGTATCGGTAAGTGTAATATAATGTTTAATTGTTAGGAGGTTAAGATTTTATATCTTACCCAATAATAATCTACAATAATGATTAACTATGTTGGGCCTCATATTGCCAACTAATGTACATGGTTCCTTATTTGGCTTGTTGGCCGCGTACAATAAAAGCCAACAAAATATGTGCAAAAATCTTAACCAAGAACGATTCCTAACCGTGCTCAGAGTACACTAAGTATACCTAGTCTATACATGCATTGAGTGACTTAATTAATATTTCATTACAATAATAAATATTTAAAAATGTATAGTAAAAAAAAAAAAAAAACAAAAACGCTGAACACTATGTTGTCTATGTATTTATTTATGCAATTAAATATAATAAATATATTACTAGGTGGCGTTTTGAACGGATTTCGCGGAGTAATATAGTTTTGATAAAAATAATAATAAGAAATATGTTTGAAATTTCGCAGCTATGTTTTTAAAATCGGTGATCTTCAGGTTCCTTCCAGTCGACATTGGCCCATACCGGAAGTTCCGTCTCGTAACTCCAACCAGGTCCCTTTAAAAAAACATTAATAATAGTAATTATGCTTGAATTAAATAGAACAAAGCACAAATGCGTTTAGTAACGCTAATAGTTATGCTGGTCTCATTTGAAAAAATTTTGATTTTTTTAAACATTTTTAAACTTAAAAAAAAATGTTAAACACACAGTCTAAAGTGCCTTAAAGTTGTATCAAACTTAGATTCTAAGCAGAACCTATTCGAATTGAGATATTAGTAGACTATCTGGAACAAAACTATATAAATCATTGATCTATGAAAGAGCTAAGAGGAATATAATTATTAATTTCAACGGTGTTAATTTAAGTTGTTTGTTCCAATATTTTTTTTTAATATACATATTATTTTTAAAAGGAAAATCAAAATTTGTATTGGAGATAATTAAAATGAAATTACGTATATAATTTATTTTCCATTTACAAATTAATGTGATTAACTTACCCAATGAAGCTATGCTCGTGAAGGGATAAATGAGATACATTTTCTTAACGAAAATCTAAAGGCTTAATTAGTATATATTAATGTTTATTTATTCCTACGCGTATTTTGAAACTCATTTTGCAAAATTATTTACAATTAGTTTAATATTCAATGTAAGATCGTTCTCTTGTTAAATAATAAATAGCCATGTTTCATGTTTAAGATTGACATTAATCAAATAAAAAGTCTTAGTTTGAGTTATATTTTGTAATATCTGAACTGTAAAACAATTATTCATTAATTTATATTTACTAATAAGTACACATACTATTTAAATGTATAAATAATTCAAGTACAATCTGACGAAAATTAGGTTTTGAATTAATTAACAAAATAATGTACAACCTACACGGTTTTCGTTAATAACATTCAGTTGGGTACGAACATCTCATTAATTCTGTTTGAATTATCGTTTATTCAACAAAACTAAAATAACTACATCACTAAATGTTTGTGTTAACAACGTAGGCGTTCCCAGTAGGTGCTCGCAGTTTAAGTACAGTTGTTTACTATAAACGCGAATTCGAAAAATTTAATCTTCGGTAAATGTTTGCGCTGACCTTTTCCGGTCTCGCTAAAATCGTTCCCAAGACAAAAATCAATGATCCGGAAAAATAAAGGGTCTCGCAAGAATAAACCGCTCGTGCAAGTTCGACGGTAATTATTATTAAGTTTTACCGATAATATTTTTCGGTATGTAAGTAGCTATTTAAATTTGGCAGGATATCTTACTTTTGTTTGATTTTTTTTTTAAGTATGATCTTGGCGCAAGCTAACTACCAATAATTCGGAATAACTCCAGACCGTTTATTGAGAAAGATTAAAATAAACCTTTTCCGCTCGTGTAATCACATTGTGTAAATAACTTTATAATGATTTAAGTAAAACATTGCAGCTTAGCCGACGCTCATTGTCTTTGCCACGGACATAATCTATAGGTCAACCCACAAAAGTTTCAACGGACAAAAACACAAGTATAATTAAAAAATAATGTGCTTCTCGAAAAACCTAGGCACTTGCATATTATGAGCTTCTTATATTGATCCCTATCTAAGCTTTAATCGGATTAAAGAAAAAAAAAACAATTTGAGAAATTATTTTTAATATATTTTTTGTTAATATTATAATTATAAAATATAGTTTATACTGTTTTTTCGGTTTTATTTTTAGAAAATTGTATAAATACTTTTATAATTTTCCTAAAAACATACTTTTTCTACAGCTAATTTTTTTAACCCTAGTCTAACATAACAATAATTACAAAACAATGTTTTGATTCTATTTTATATTATGTGTGAAAAAAGTTGACTAAATATTTTTTTATATATATATATATAGGTATTTTGTTTTTTGTTAGTAATATGTTTTTGCATTTACACTAATTGTTAAAATTTTTTTAAATTAGGTTTTCAAAATTATCAATTACAATAAAAGTTCTAAAATTACTGTTCTTATACAGAATCTTTTAAAAATAATAGTTCTGTCATACAGAACCTTTTATGCTAATAATTAGTTAGTAAAAATGTTAAAAAAATCTGTGTTTATTACTTTGTGTAACTGAAGAATTAAGTAAGTTCTTTAATTTGATCACTGTATTAAGTCGTTGAAGCGAATTATTTTCAAAACTCACATTAAAATTGTATCTGCGATTTAATTACTTGTCTTATTATTGTAAAATTTGCATTTTTTTTTATTATTGTACCAGAATATTTGGCGTTCACTTAAAATTGAAACTAATCGTTCGAATTAAATCTAAATTCAGCTTACTATGCCCGATGTGCCTCGTTTAGTTTACTCCAAAATTTCCGATGAGGAACATTTTCCTGTGTGAAATTTATTGTTATGCAATGCACTGTTGTCTCGTGTGTGGGGGTCGGGACCGTTTAGACAAAGTCAACACATGGTTAGGTTGTGATGGAACGGTATACAAGGGCGAAAACCGCACTGTATAGCTATGTACATGGTAATATATTAATAACCTATACCAGATTTGTATCGAGTCACGTCGAAAGTCTTCCAGGCGAAATCCTAAGAGCCGACGACGCGCTTCGACGGCCATTTTGCCAATTTCCTTCGAGCAAATCTCCAACGAGCGCGCACATAATATACTATGATATGAAGGAAAGCGCAAAGTTCCAGAGGTACCTCAATAATAATGATAATAGTTAATTGATTTTGATTTTTTTCGGATTTTCTCAGGTTACTTTATGCTGGTTAAGGAACTATCTTGAAAAATGCATTAAAAAAATTACTAAAGTTAACATATCAAATGTAAAATTCACTATTTCGGAATTAGTTATCATCTTTGATACACCTAATTAGGAAAATTCAATAAAGTTTTCAAACGTTTGTAGAGTAAAAAAAAAAATGAAAAAACTGAATACAAGTCGGAGAGGGTTATATACCTATTGTTCAATTACTTATCGAAAGTAAAATTAAGAAATAATATTTGGAAACACTCGATTAAGCGGAAACCGAAAAAGTATTAAAAAACTATTTGGCAGAGCACTTTGTTCTCTTGCAATCAAATGTATCAATTAGTGAAATTATAGTGCGCGAATATTGCACTTGACTATCAGCAAAACGACGTATGAACTTGGATAATAACCGCAAGGGACGTCTTGAAGGTAATAGACTTTGACGGGCGTCGGTAGGTTGATTGCCCCGGGGAAAGGCGACGAGACGATGAAGTTTGGAAAACAAGGCAGTACTCAAAGTTATTATGTTGCCCAAGTACAATGCACTTGAGAACGATCAAAATATGTCGAGGTGTCGTTGTCGGTTAAGCGAATTGACTTATTGGCGTTACCGAACGTTGAAAAATAATGAAAGCCAAACAACAACGTCCCTAAGCCTTGTCAGAAAAGTTGTTTTGATTCGAATGTCATGCAAACAAGAAAAATGTTCAGTGAACTTCGGTAAGTTGATCGTGTTGTTCAAAATGTATTCTCACTACTAGAGAATTGGAGATTTTTTTTTTACAGATAAGCGGATTGAAATACACGATGGGATCTCAATGGTTACATGTATCCTTGTGAAACACATTTTTTTTTGTCACACAACGTATGTGAAAATAAATCAGCGAGAAAGTTAACCTGATAAAAAACAAACGCTGTGCATTTTGTGAGTTTTAAATATTTTCCACCTTTCAAACTCTTTATTTTAAACTCATAAGACACCATATCCGTCTCGCGTTTACTCTGTGAGTTGTTGAAATCAAAATAGGAAGAAATTTGTGTCTGACATCTTTACAATATACTGATGTATTTTGTACCTATTGTTTGGCTGATTACCTTATTAGATTACTTAATTCGGTGTGAACACTGTTTTGAGTCAGTTTGGGTCACGACTATTTCAACTTTTTTTTGGTGAATTTTGGTTTATTGTAAAGTATCGCATAATGTAAAAACTCAACTTTTATTCACGAGGAAATTTCAAATTCCACCAAAAAAAAAAAATAAGACACTTACGCTGTATTTCCAGGCGTGCAAGTACATGATTAAGTCTTTGGGTTTCGGGTCTCTGAACTTGACACGGCACTCGTAGCAATGAGGATCGTATGTGATTTTCTGTGCATCGTATTCCATGATGTGAGATCGGTCCTGTCCGGTCTGAGTGGAAGCGTTTAATGCCAAGTCCAACATGTGTGTCTGAGTATGGCTTCCGGTCGGCGGTGGTGTGGACTTGGAACCCAAAGATTGGGGAATCCACTCGGTTACTGTCTGTACACTCCTAGTTACACCTAAGACAATACAACATAAGTATGTCAATGAAAGGTGTGTATTTCTGTGTACTTACACATTAAAATTATATTGAAACCCTACAAGAATTATCTATAACCATGTTTTGATTTTTTTTTTCAAACATAATATAATATTTGATGCACTAAATAATTTTATTTAGAATAATTTATCGTCGAACAATTATTATTATATTGTCTAATTTTACCTAGGACCCTAAACTTTTGAACTGACATTTTTTATACTACTTGTACCGAATACTAAACATATACTATATATATGTGTATTTTAAATATTGTTGAAACGTTTTCAAGTAATTTAAAACTGTTATTAAAGGTTTAATATTTGTTATTAGCTATCTGTAGTTATAGTATAATTGCTCCTTGATGTATTATGTATTTGCGTATCTCGGTAATCACTTGATAATAATATATTATTATTATTAACAAGTATGCAAAATATATTACACATGTCCACTTGACGCAGTAGTCATTAAACACGAGTGCGCATCCCTCATTAAGACTAGAACTCGACAAGAGTGCTTGACATTTTTGTATAGGTATATATTTTATATCAAAATGTGTACGATTTCTGTGTTCGGGGAATTTGATTAGCCTTTACGTTTGTTTTTCATTAATAGTCGAGAGACCATAACAGATAATACCAACAATAAGTAACATAATATTTTAGTTTCGATGCGGAGTTTGTAAGGTATTGTTTTTACAATGATGTGTTATTTTTGTGGACCTACGATATATTCTAAACCATCGAACGAAATTTTATCATGTATCAAATCTATAATTTTAAGAAATCGTACTTAAAAGGTACTTTATTGGGCTAAAAATTAAAAAAAATCCACTCCTCCCTTTTTAAAATCTAGAAAAACACCATAAAAATGTAAATATTTTTCAACTTTGAGCTCTTTTTAGAGCTTTTTAACAATAGTCAAAATAGATCCAAATTTGCATGAAATATTCTTAAGACAAAGGACTAAAACTCTAAAATATTCTTTAAATATTCTGAAAGCTCCTTCAATGTTTTAGAAAAAATATATAAATCTTACTTGGGGGCGTGCTTGATTGGTTGCTGATATTTATTTAAAGCCTAAACGAGTTTAGAAGGATTTGAACATCCCTTACCCTCCCTCTCCCCTCTAGTTACGTCAACGTCTCCGAATAATCCTAACCATATCCTCCTTAGTACTCAAGATATATTTTAAAGTATGTTATACATTTTTAAATGCTTTTTTTGATTTTTGTATTTCTATCATCAACAAATTCGCATTGGAGTGTTTATTTGAAAGTTATTTTATTACTTTTAGTTATAATAAGTCCTGTAGGTTTGTGACTTGTCCCGCTCCATTAGCTCCATACCCACAATGTCCCGATCCCATTGTACTGGGTTTTTTTTTTTAAATCGAATCCATAAGGTATTTGGTCGGTTGAGTTGAATCGAAGAGAATAATATAAGAAGAGGACATGTAAAATGACTTATGAGTTTTCCCCTGTGGTTACAAGTTAAAACTAATAGGCTAGTGTCTTTCGGAGATTATATCAACCAAAACGAAAATCATTAATTTTATTTGGAAACAAGTCGAGAATTTTACCGTATTTTTGTACGAGTAATTACATGTTCGGTCGCACTCGGGACTTAGCGGCGTGCAACACTTAATTTATTGCCGAAGGAGAGGGAGAGAGAAATGTTCTTTGGGGATTTGTCAGTAACGGCATCGATTTGTTTATTCTATAAATAAACGTTAAGTTTATTTAAATAAATCCGCTAAATTATTAATTAAATGGATCAGAAAGAAATATTATTTTTAAAAAACAATAAAACTTGGCTGGACTAATAAATGAGTTTTTTCTAAACTTGTTAAAACTTTGAAAATTGTTTAACTGAGTAACAGTTCAAAGTTTTCAATAATTATTTTAGTTACAAATTAAATTAGTTAAAACCCAGTATTAATAAAGGCTATTAAAAGAAGAAAAAAAAAGAAAACCCAGTAAAGTTATAAAGTTAAAATTAACTTAACTTCAACTTAAGTTAATACCCAGCATTGCAATAACATTATAATAATGTTAGTTTAAAACTTGATTTATAAACTGTAAAGCTAGCGGAAATGTCATAGTGATAAAAAGTATATTTTATATGAAGTTTTCGTGGACACCTCTTAAGAAGCACGGTGGGAGTGATATCTATTCTTCCGGTTTCCACCCAAAGAAGCTCTTATAGACTTCAATGATGTAGTCCCAATTGTGAGTATGCTAGGTGGCTCATGGGACTATTAAGGTAAACTTCCCGGTGAGTATCAACCAATATTACTACGAATGTTAAGCATTTGGGTGTACTTAATTTTGTGTCTTATAGAATTACATAATCAGTGAGCCAGAGTAGGTAAATTGCCTATCGAACACGCCTTACCTACGCTTAACTGACGCGATACCCTTGTTAAACAGCCATAATAACAACATATATATCTTTTACTATTGTGCAAGGTTATACAATATGTATATTACATTGGCTGGGTCAGTATGTTTACTTAAAATTGTACAACATGGATTCATGTTGTATGAAAAAATATATACAAATTTAACCGTTAAAACTAATAATAGTTTGTTTAAATTATAAACATTGAAAATGCTTAAAAAAGTCACTTTTAAAATTAGTTTTTTTTTGTATACACGAAACAATTTAATCCGGTTGAACGAAGGCGAATTGCTTAAAAGATGAACAGTCTAGTACAGACTTTTGGGACATAAGTAATTTATCGCTTTGTTGTACTGTCAAACTAATATACCAAGAACGAGCGAGAACATTCATAGATCATCGAGGAATGTGTTGATACTATTATATTGTTGCAATCGTGTCTTGTTCTTTGCTGTTTTTGTGAGTATCTTGTTTTTTAACAAAACACAAATTTCGGTGTAGTTAATCACTTTAGTCTAAGATTAAAAAATGTAATTGGAAGTTGTTAAACCTAAAATGGTTTACAACGGTTGAAATAAGAAACAGCATTTTTTTTTTGTCATTAGAATATAACTGTTCGCCAAACACTTTTACGATGGCAACGTAAAGTTTAATTTTATACTCTTACTTTATACTCTAATCAGTAAAAACAGTGTCCATCCGATTCGCGCACAGCACTGTTTATATTCTAAACTCTAATCATTAAACCAGAATTAGATTTAATATGAGCGCCGAGCGGTGTAAATATTTTTAGGTTAATGCTTAAAATGTTATACATTTTATGTTGTATAATATTTTTTCAGTTGTTAAAAAAATAAGTTTAGAAATATTTAGATAAGTATTCGAATAGTTTAATTGTTTAGTTTCGAAACGTTTACTAGAAACCCGTAAGCGAGTACAAGTATTTCGTGGCCCTCGCATACCACAACACAATGGCACTCGGTTTGATACTAAAATACTCCTGACATACTATCAATACTAGTTACTCTCCTAGAAGATTTATCTGGTCTAGGAGGATTCGTTATGCACGTTAACGTACCAACCTATTCGTGTCAAATCTTCATTCTTTTCAGATGTTCAAAATGATGGACTAGAGATACTATAGTGTAAGGTGATATCGTTGTTACTGTAAAACTGTATGTTACCTGTACCCGGCGACAATTGATTGTCTTCGGTTTGGGTAGAGGTTGTGGTGCCGGTTGTAGCAGTAGTGGCGGCAGTAGTACAAGGATCGACGTTTTTCATCAACGGAAGCATGTTTAATTCCGAATCACCATCCATGCCCAGCCAATTTTCGGCGTTGTGGATGTTTATCAAGTCGTGGATCAGCTGTTCGTCAGACTTGCCTATAATTCCACCACGGCCTTTTTCCGGTCCAAACACGACGTGGTTGTACAGCGGATCGTTTTTCACGGGAAAGCCTGCATCCGAAATGTACTCAATGAGTTTTATTTAAATTATAGTTATTAAGAATAGTCATTGTTGTATAAAGATTACCGACTAGCCTACAGATACCTACCAAGATACTGGAGGTGTACCCTGATCTGATGCATGCGACCGGAGTGGGGGAAGCATAGCACCACGCTCATGTTGGTCTCCTTATTGTACCCAATCAGTTGGAATGTTGTTGAACAGCTCTTGCCATTTGTCGACACCTTGCACACACCGATTTTGTAGCTAACCACCTCGATCGGTTCATTACACTCGACGGTTTGCCTAAAGACAGTCCATCGTGTGTTAGAGTAATAAACTATCAATCATGAACCAAAAGACATATTTGTAAATAGCAGTGGGGGAGACTGGTAAATATTGTCTGGACTAGTTATAGAAAGTAATTGAAAAAGCTTATTGAACTATTCAACAGGTAAGGAATGATTATGTTTTGTGCGCTTAAACGTGATACCGATAATAGAAACTCAACGTACAGGGCATGCAGAAGAGAGGATGAATACGATTAGCATTAGTGCGTTAAACAGGAAGACTCCAAAGACTGTTAAAGATTTTTGTCGAGGACAGCTGGTGTAGGTAAAGAAGAAGATCTTGACTGTTTCAAGAGTAAATTAAAACGAACGAGTCTAAGAAACCAAAAAGGAGAAGACGTTTGAAAAAAAAATGGTTTTCAGTCAACCCAATCATCATCATCATCATCAGTTTCTAAAGGCAAGGCCTTGTCGTTGTAATCAAACTTCTCTATTTCGGTTACACAATTAGAATCAACCCAATGAGCATGACGTATATTAGGCTGTCGTGATTCGTGACAACGAATTGAAGTATACTCACTCCGGGAATTTGCCTTCAACTCGGCACACGTACTGTTTGTTGACTTGACGGTTGCGGATCTGCGACTCCATGATCCGGGCGTAGCGGGGAGTCCTGCCAAACATCAACAGACCGCTGGTCAATCTGTCCAAACGGTGGATGGTTCTCAAGTTTTTCAAATTATGCTCTTTGGCCAACACAAACACCACCGTGTTGTGACGGTATCTGCCGCAAGGGTGTACCTGGACAAAATACAAACAATGATCATATCGTGTCACAATGCTATTTTGTGTCCGATCGCTATCTCGAGTTTTTTATGTACATAATAGAGTGTGTGTTCAAGTAAAGTTAAGTCAACGCATCGGCTTTGGGTGTGCACGTTGACACTTACCGGAATGCTCGCAGGTTTGTTGACCACTACGATGTCTTCGTCCATGTGCACGATAGTAATGGGTTCGTTAGTCACGGGCACTTCGTGTCTGTAACGCGTTGAAAACTAATAAATATCAAAGTTTGGCAGTTTTTTAAGCGGATACGGAGGTAACCCCGTAGTATTAGGCGTAAAACAAAGTAAACATAATTGCAAAATCAAAGTCACGTCCTATTCAGTTTCGTTCATTGACGGACACGTGAAAATCTTAACATTACCACTGCAGTAAATGTGTTTAAGTAATATTGAATAAGCACATCGAGTTATAAATACGATGTAAGTCTAGCTCTTAATGGACTGAACCAATGACTTAAGGATGTGTGTACAAGGAGATATTTAGGAACCAGACAATTAACTTATATTATGAGATAAACAATTATAGTCATATGAGCTTAGAGGTTCCCCAGATTCCCTCAAGCAGTTATTCCCTTCTCCCACGCCCACCATTAGTCTTGGATGTCCAAAACTTTATTTTAAACAGACTTACCTAGTCACCCGTTAAAAACTATTATGCAAATTGTCTCTATAAAAATAAATACAAAATAATACCGGTTAAGCCCAACTACAATATTAGAGTTTAGCGTTATTTCAACTGCATTTTATAAGTAGAATAATTTAAAAAAAGTAAAAGACCCGATACCTTAGCGCCCTACAAATAATTGTTATATTTTTAAAGAAAAAAATAGTTAACAAAAAAATTGAAACCCTCCGTATTTTTCCAATAAATAAATTTGTTATTGAAAAATTGCTGAAACTAATTGAAAAATTAATTGTGAACTTATAAATACACATATTACTGTAAATCTTAATAAATTAACTCTACAAATTAAAATAAAACAAAAATACTTTTGTTGAACAAATATTGTAACGTATCGTTATAAAGTTAACACATGGAGCTTTGGAATTTTAACGAAGAAAAGGTCGCTAAGTTATTTTATAACCGTATAATAGTATAGTAACTCCGCACGCCATAAAGTTTTAAATTACAATAAAATAACGCTTGTAAAAAAATGCTTCCGGTATAGGTACATTGCAGGCTTGTAATATAATATTGTTAATTACACAATAAACATTACTGAAGGTTTAAACGGCATGTATTATCGGTGTACTACGACGGCTAGTGTTTCGTTCGGATATAATTTATTTTTTAGAGCTAATTAAAACCGGCTTGGTTTGTATTAGGTTTTCCACACGCATGTGTAAATTATACACTTTATACATACCACTTTAAATTGAATTGGGTGTGAGGAATTTTTAAAAACAGTTCATAATAATTCAAAACAATTAAATTAAAGTCTGTGTTGAGCTCGGAAGTTTGCGTTTAAATAATCATTTAATAAATATTTTAAAACCATTGTTTATTATTTAACGTTGAAAATTATCATAATTCATTAAAGAATTTTAATTTATAATATACTAAAAAATATTATTTTTTTTTGACTTCTCAAATTCTAGATTAATTTCTATTGTGGATTGAGCAATAGTTGATAAGTCACTTTTTATCTACTTTTCGGTAATTACAAGTTAATTTAGACTAAAATTCCTAAGTTGTTTTGGTATTTCTATAAATATTATATACTTATTCTTTATGATACCAGCAGTTTAAATGTGAGCCAAAAAATTGATTATGAGGAAAAGGACCAAAAACAAATTTACAAAAAAACGATATTTTTCCATTCTTCCACGGCTTTAATTTCAGTATTAAACCCAATTTAAATTTTGTAATCGATTAAGATTAATGAGAGATTTTAAATTTAATATGTTTTTACATAGTTTACTTTTGTAATTATATTTTAAGTATATTTATAATGTTGTTGAAAACAATTAAGTTTTTATACATTGAATTTCAATATTTAATTGGCTGTTAAATCACAAAAAAAAATTGTGTTAAACTGTACAGTCAGAAAATAGTTAAAAAATAATCAAGAAGACTAAAAAAAACTAACGAGTGTTAACTTCTTTAAGTACATACTTATAACTTTATTGTTATTTGAATGGTCTTGAGAAAAAGTGTTGTTAGGGTGAAAGCAAGTTTTTAAAAAAAGGAGTTTTATTGTATTTACAAAAGTGTAGGAAAACACAAAAGCCATGACAGGTTTTTTTTTGTTGTAATTTTGAGTTCCAACGTGCCCATTAAGTTTTTTTTTGAGAATAAAACCTGACCATAAAATGGTATACACGCATTAACAATTAGAATAGGTGCTTGTTGTAATATTATATTAAAGTTAGCCTTTTTCTTTATATCCTAAATGGACCACAAATTTACTAGGTTCCTTTGGGTGTACTTAAAATTGTATACCTACCATGGTTCCATAAACATACTACACAAATCATTGTAGGTTTATATTTTTTAATTAACTACGGGAACTTACAATTAATTTTAGAACAATATAATTGCATAAATTACATACGATATACATAATATGGATAGTAATGTTATGGCCCTTACAACATTTTCTAAATAAAAATATTTCTTTGAGGTTAGTGGGGGAGGGGGGGGGGTGTAAATAATATTGTAATTGTAACATTCATTTAAAGTTTTTGAAAAAACCCATGTAGGAATGACATATTGTATATACCCCCGTGTATGATAAATGTGTGTAAATTCTTTGTTACTAACGCCCTGTAGAGTGTAAATTAGATAGTTGTAAAGCGGATAATTTTAAATTCTAAAATTTAGGGATTTTTAAAATTACTCGTTTAATAACTATCAAAATTAAGTCCATGTCACGGAATTTATTGCAAAATTCTCATACCACTTATGAAGTCACATTTTTTTTACCAAAACCTCACCAGTTATGGTAAATAACTGGGTAAAATGATATGGCATATGAGAATTTCAAGCAAACTTGATGGTGCTAATATTTTTCATGTTTTAATTAAATTAACTGTAGAATTAAAAAAAAACAAATTATTTTAAAAATATTTCAATCAAAATTAATAGAATTAAAAAAACCTTCCTGTCAAAATATGATTTAATGATTTTTTTTTTACAATAGCAAAAATACTATGACATTTATAAAGTATTGCCTGTTTTCGATGAAATATTGTTAAAAAGTATTTTTTTTAAATCGTATTTCTGTGTAGGTGGAAGAATAAGAACAAACACTAGTACAAAGTATATAGGTTCCGAAGATTGACAAGAGATCACTGGTCCGTGTAAGTATATTACCCGGTCTGCGGGATAACTTGACCTATAATTGCCCACCTGTGCACTACGTTGGCCAACAGATCGTTGTGTTTCAATTTGTAAGATGTGTCCACTTTCTCATAGTTGACGGTCAGCGATCCAGACTTTATGCAACGTTCCTAATTTTAAAAACAATAATACAAAAATAGTGAGATTCTATTTAACTTTTTTTTTTTATAATGGTATATAAAGTCAAGTATTTAACTTACATATTCTTCGGCGGGATGTGCACGGAATTCTCTAGCGAACACATCGAGTATGTTCTGGTTGACCCAACGACCTTTGGTGAACGTGGTGAACGTGAAGTAATACGGATATACTTTGCGCAGTCCTGAAAAAAGTAAATCACAAATTATAAGTAGACTTATATTGATTTAATTGACATTGGCGCAACCAGATTGGGGGAAGAGGAGACATAGATGAGTTAAAATCATTCTAAACTCCTTCAGGATCTCTAAAGTTATGTTTTTAATTTTTACCGAAATTCAGTGGGAGATTTAAGAGTTTTTTAACTGTCTAAATTTTCCCAGGTCCCCAGGTTTCTAGTTAGGCCATTGTTCAATGTTATTAACGCGACTCATACCGTTTTCAATGTAGTAAGAAGTCTCGTTGTATCTGTCGTCTGTGAATCCCGGGCGTTTAGCTTTCAACGCTTTTGTTTCCAATTTTGCCTGAAAAATCAAAAAAAATCCATAGTCAGCTTAAAATAAGATAAAAAAAATCATTAATCTTAATCGCTGTTAAACCGTTAAATGTCGTTCGTGTCGCCAGTAAAATATATAGCAAGAATGGATTAACAAACTATTATTATTGCTCTGAGAAATCTTTCAAACTAAAATGTGTAACCTGTTTAGAATATTTTGATAGATTAGATACAAAACGTACATATCGACTCGTCCATGCTTATTTAGTTGAAATAAGTTACAGTAACTCATCAAAATTGTATGCTTTCACTGTTTACTTACAAAATATCTTAATGGTTAATCTTAAAATAATCATTGTCTCGATCCAAATATAGTGTAGATGCATTTGTTTCCTAAAGTAGTATTGCTCAGTTCATTTCTTAAGCCATAAACACAATTCTCCCTTTGCTACTTTATACCAAGTTTTAACAAACTACCTACATTTTATAAGTGGTGTGGTCAGGGGTGTCTTATTAACAATATACAAATATAGTCCTTTATTAAAAAAAAATTAACGAATAAATAAAGATGAAGTAATATCTAGCAATTATCTAGTATTCAAATTATATACTTAATTTTTTCAACTATGTCATCTGTCAGTTTTTTTCTTTATATTAAAAGTTCTCCAAAAATGTTAACAGGTTGAATCTAATCCGGAAATAGTTATGACGCTTAGCGTTAGCGGAGAATAACAAGTAAAGTTCATTTATTCGATTTTTTTGTTATAGCATCATCATATTATATGCTTTCCTTTAGGAGATTCGCCGCGTGACGGATACATGTTTTAGAAAAAGGTTAGCTTAAGTACCAATGTATATAATATATCAAACCGAAATACGGAATAATAATAATAACATTTTATATTGTTCTTGGCACATCCGAAAATAAAAAGCGGAGTATTAAATTTCGGGTTTCGAACAAATATATAAAATAAGTAACTCGTTTTATTTGAATCAAGTGCGACATTTTATTGCGATCGGATATCGTTATTACGAGTACGGCTGTATCTATCAAAAATATCATATTGCACACGAAATGTGCGACAGATGGTAATAATATATTATAGATTTACAATAATATTAATATTAATCTAAAATATTTTACTATATATAGATAAATTGTATCGTTTTTATTTGTAATAATCGAATATACATGAATATAGTCATGTCCTTTGTTTATCGTTTAATTGTTTTTTTTAATAATTAACAAACTTTAAGTTATTAAAAAAAAAGATTTCCCCAGTTTTATTTTTTCAATTACACATTGTATAATGTTATATACTCACGAGTATGATACCTACCTCTTTTGGTATATGTACAAACCCAGTGATTCTTAAGGACGGATCCGTTTTATTCAATTACATTTTATGATAATTTTTTATCGTGATTGGAATGTTTCATAACATAATTAAAACGTTTTAAAATTATTTTTTTTAGTTTTTGTTTTGGAAAATTGTATACTTTAGATGCATATGTACTATATTATGGAAGCATTTAGAAATAGAAGTATGTAGAATGGATGCAAAAAGATGACAAGTAAATAAGTGTGGAGTGAAAGAGTGGTCGTCGCCACTTTTATTAGATAGACTAAAGGTTCCTAGAAGAGGAACACCATTTTATTACCATTTTATGGTAACCCATATAATTGAGTTCTGCAGCGCAGTTTTTAATTGCTCTTACAATATAATTTTTTGAACTTATAATTGTTGGTACATTCTAATAAAATAAAGGTACTCCATAACATTTTGCATGACAAGCCTTGATGCCTTAATATCGACATTTAGTTACTATTGTTTTAGTAATATTTTATCAGGTGGCAGGTCTTGAACGTCCCTCGTCTCGTCGATAGGAAAACAAAACCCACCTAGGACCTACATGGAGAGTAGGTATGAAAATATTTATAAATCATAACACCTTACGCTGTGCTCGTGGCATAAAACATGATAATATATTACTGAATACTAGCACACCTGAGGTACAACCGCCGCCATTACACTTCACCGCAGCAACTGATTTATATAGACACTCTTTGTGATTTACAACCGTCTTTGCCCGCATACCGAGGTACTTAAAAGCCCACGAGTAGCAACACCCAGCAACTTAAGATCGTTTTAAGTGTCGGTTACTAAAATGTAGAATTAGCTAAGATCCCTAACACGATTTAGTCCTTAGGACAACTGTCCATTTACCATAAATTGCATCCGACAACTTAAACACACATACAAAGCAACTACTTAAAAAATATCCCTTTTCTTTGCATGCGCGACTCTTGCTGAAAGTTTGACTCCTTTGAAGCTTCTCCTGTTAGGGTAAAATAACAAATCCTTGAGTATACAATCAGTCATTAATTTCGGTTTTACAAGCTCAGGGGTTTCATTCATTAACAGAACGAAATCTCTGTATAAACTAAACAGAAATTATTTATTTTATAAAACACGAGGCCGTTACAACGCTTACACTGAATAAATAACCAAGAAAACTTGGAACGAACAATAGGATGTTGTGTAGATTATCTATCAGGCAATACCACACAAGTAGAAACATAACTATAATTTGAGGTTATAATGGCACTTTAACATTGTAATACTAATAGTCAAGAAAATGGTTAAATAAACAAATGTTGATTGTTTATATTAACTTTATTTTTGGTCAATAATAGACAAAAAGTATCAATAAGTCCTAATCATATTGGACTTGCAACGATTATTAAAATTATCATTACATTTTATGATAAATATGTGTACACCATGTTGTAATAAGATGTGATATTATAAGCAAGTGTATTTTATTTAAGGATGTATCAAGAAATTGTATCTCGAAAATATTGATGATTAATTTGTATGTAAGTATTGTGTTTTTTCTTAAATTGCCGTGTCGTTTTGAAATTATGTTGTTTTTAATTTATCAAACTTAGGCTTTTGAGTATAGCCATTTAAAAAAGTCACACAGCTTTGAACAATATCAACACAATAATATGTTGATTGATGGTCTTAGTGCGGGTTGTATGCGATTTTATGATACAGAAACAATATCTCTATGGTTTGTATTACAAGAGCGTTCAGATTTCCGTCCGAGTGGACCGTTATAAATTATTATGATGACTTGTCAGAATGAAACATCAGCTATACGTTGTGTCGAATGTATTCTGAATAAGCTACGTAGTTGCGTGGGTTAGTTTTTAGTGCATTAATTCCAAAAGAGCAAAAGATATTTTGGAGTTAAAGCCCACGCGTTTATCCAATATTTTTATTAGAAATGTTCGTCATCGCTTACCGGACAGTCGATTTCCTAATATTAGGTTAGATTGGAAATAGTCGAAGAATAAAATTTCCAGATTTCGAGGAATATATTTTATACGGCGCGGCACTTTTTCGTTCAAATAGTTTATGTACGAGTAGGAGTAGCTTTCTCGTTGATAAGTAAGGTACATAATATCGTCGAACGTCGTTGGAAAACTGCACATTATGAAAAATGCGGTACGTTCTTAAAGATGCCATTAAAACTTGTTGATCGTTTCGTCATTGAGAGGGTAAACGATGTGACCTAGTTAAGCTAATAAAACGTTTATTTTCAGGACACATAAGCCTGCGATGGCAGTGCACACTTGTGTGACATAACCCTACAAATACTCTGTACAATTTGGGTATTGTAAGTCTCGACAGGGTACGTTGGACATTTTACTTTCTGGCCACAGGTAAGGTGTGACCACAATATGTTAAACGTATTCTATCCTACCATCCTATCCATTCGACCCACTGCCCGGTAGTACCCTTAGGCTAGACACAGCTAATTATTAATTATATATTTTCGTCTCGGCACACTATATGGAGTACTTAATTATTTTTCGGGTATATTTTCTAAAAAGGTATTATAACAATTAAAAAGTAAAAGCCAGTTGTCATACATATATTACATATTTTTAAAGATATTATACATTTCTGCTCTCTTACCCGTACAGCGAATATTTTATTTTAAAAATATTGTAAAATTCATCGAAAAACCATGGTTTTGTAGGAAATAAAACGATATGCAAGTTCAAATATTAAAAACTTCATAATTATACGTGATTTATTTTGAAAAAATTAAAACGATATTTTGGAGTCTACTTTAAAGCCTGAAATTTTAATAATAAATACCATACAATTGTTAATAATTGTTTTTTGTTTTAATCAGGGTAATATTTAAAAATGTTTTTATGTAAATAGAAATTCAAATAAGTATTTATAATAAATAAAAAGTATTTAATAAAAATGTGTAAAAATGAAAACTTCAATAATAAACTGATTATTATTTAATTTGTTTGTACATAAAACAAATGAATAAGAATTTGTTTTATGTACAAACAAATACCCAAACAACAATTTAAATTATATATTTTATTTAGATGAATTTAAATAATTAACATACAATACTTGTACTTTAAATAGATTTAAATTTTAAATATTTGTTTTTTTTTTAAATATGGAAATGATAATTACAATTTAAAACTATTTAAATAACAGGGTATTTTAAAAAGTTAAATAAAAAAGTATTTGAAATTACTCATAATTTCTAAGTAATTATTTGTTCTGTCAAGCTACCTCGTAATTAGTTTAATTATAATTTCTTTGTTAAAAGTTAACTCAAATTATTTAATATTATTTTCCAAACCAATACTATAATGAAAAAAGAAACGGATATAGTAGTTTATACATTTTAAAATGACAATAAATTATACCGTCGACTGAGTGCAGATAACGATTATTCAGGCTATACCGGTATTTGATGTCTTACTGGCATTATAGTAGGTTAAATGACTTGGTAATACAATAGTTTGCTCATAATAAGAATAATTAGTTGATTACCGAGTTTGTTGATAATAATTAGTTACGGAGATCCTAAAGGAAAAGTTTGAATGGCATCATTTAGTAGTCATTGTTAGTTTTGTTCATTGTCATTGGCAGCTATTCGTATTTGTCTTGATTGTGGATCTTAAGCGTGAAAAAGTTTGATTTAAATAAAAAAAACCCCTATTGATATCATGGATTGCGATCCGAGTCTATTTATATCACTGGATGGAAATTCTGGGGATTACTTTTCAAAATTATAGGGTCGTTTACTACATTGATGCACTCCAGGGAAATGAGCTTTAAGTATATTATAAAAATACATTTTTGATCTCCGGACCGGCGATATAGTAAGGCTTGAGTGAAAAGTAATATCAAAGTTGGTTAAATTAAGTAAGTGGTATCGGTTTAAGTCTGTTGAACTTTTTAAAAATACAGCCATATTACTATATAATGCTAATATAATTTATATAGAACGTCAAAAACTTGTCCCAAAACTATTAAGAGATCCAATATACTACAATGGATTAAATATTATAACTTTATAATACATTTCGGATATTTCATATCTAAACTTGTTTAATAAAGAGATAATAGAAATGTTAAATCCGTAAACGTTTTGGGGGAGAGCGGTTTTACGCGTTACTCGACTCAAAGTAATTGTGAAGTTTGAAAGTTTTCCGTAGGTATACCGTTCCGACTTGATGATCTACTCAGTTTGGTGCAGAGAGAGGGGGAGCAAAAAACTTTCCGTACTTAAAATTCTGGAAAAAACCTAATAATATTTTGCAACGGTTCTCGGTAAGCTGTACGAGGGGAGAGAAAACAGACAAAGAAACGGCAAAGCAATAGTTTTGAGGGAAAGGTAAAAAAAAAATGCACACAATATTATTATGGGACCAAGAGATTCAGCATTCCGTCGGCAATTTAAAATAATTATATTATAATAAATGAATACCGGTCATTACACTGGGATGTGGCGGTAAGAGAAAAGTTAAGTTTTTAATTGCTTTTCGACGGTAAAAAAAGGAGAGACGTTTAATTATACAAATAGAGAGAGAATAAAATGCGTTTTATAATGAATTTTTTTAAATTTCAAACCAAACGAGTTTTTAAGTGATAGCCACGTCACCATTGAAATGGAAAACTAAAACAAACGTACTGTTTCAGAGGACATTATTAAAGAAATTATAGAAAAAATCAGCAACAATGTGACCTGATACAGTATTTATATAATTATTAAACAAATATATTTACAGTTGATGCTCTGTTAGTGAATTTCTGGTTTAACATTTATTTTAATACTCTTACCTAATTGATGAATATAGTAAAATTGTTTTCAAATAATTTCAGCTATTACTTTAAAACGGGTTGAAGTATAAAATATTTAGCAAAACATAATCCTTTAATTTAGTAAAAAATATAACACAATTTTTTTTTTACCTGAAATAGGATTTTTTTTTAAACCACCAATATCCTCTTATGTATGAGTATAGGCGTACTCATACATAAATAAATGCACATATACATCTAAAATTTAGTAAATAAGTCGATATTTATTACGGGGTTTATAAGAAGTAATCAACATTTCACAAACATTTGAAATATAAATGAATATTTTGATGTTGATTTCATATGATCCATTATGAACATATTGTTATTATTATTTTATTTTTTTTGTATTGACCATTTTGTCGATTTATATTGTTTTGGTCGATTACTTTCTAAATATTAACCGACTACTTATGAGCAGTATTACATAGCGTTTTTTTGTTTTTTTTTGATACAAAAAAATGTTTAATAATAATACATGTATATCCATCGTTAGTTATAAAAACAGTTAGTTTTTATGTGTTTACAGTAATTGTTATTAAAACAGTTTACATTTTTTAACCTCGTTCCAATCTCCCCTCTAGTCTCCGATTTATCTTACTCAAGTATTTTCCATACTCCCTAACTGATTTTATAAATCAATGTCGGACTAAAAATGTGCATAAATAAGTAGTGTAATGATACTGGAAAAATATTAGATGGATACAAAAAAAAATGGTTTACTATACCTTTTTCAAATCCTTTCCCTCCTTGTCGTTTCGGTCTTCCGGCATGTATTTGCGTTTGTTCGATATGGGATCTTCTTCGGCCTGTAAACACAGAAAAGCGAAAGAAAATTAATATATTATTTCATTTAATCTAACCATGATTGAATTCTGTGGTGGAGATATTCCGAAAATAATATTCAAACATCATCATCATATATTGTTATTCATCGGCTACTACACACCACATTCACGCACGAGTTGGCTTGAATTACAGACAAGCAATAAACACTGTGTACAATATTATAAATAGAGCGATGGCTGCAGAGTTGATGGTTGAAAACAGTTTTATTGTTAAACTTAATGAATATATTATAAGATGAAAAAAATGTATTTTAGCTTCGATGCAAAGCGGAGAACGTATTTTTTTTTTGTAGTAGTGGTTTAGGAAAAAGTAAAACAGTTTGCATTTTTACCAAACACAGACAAGCTGAAGGTGACAATGTTAACTGTATAGTATAGTATTTGCGGTATATCCTTAGCGTTTCTACGCATTAGTGACCGGGCCACTCGAATTTGGAGGGTTGTTCAGAAGACAGCAGACATTACCGGCTGTGGTTGTGCGGAGTGGCTGCGATTTTAATTTCAACCATTTTGTGTACAGCTTGGAGTGCGCACTTCAGTCGAGGGGTTCGAATGCTACACCGATATCGTTTTATTTGTCCTCTCAGAGACCGAATAACATCTCCATAATCTGGTAACGACCGTTATAAACAATTATATTGTAATATTAAAGCGTGCGCACCGCGTGTAACCGATAGTCGATAGCTGTATTGATGTGTGATCAATTCATTTCCAGTGACAGAAGCAAGGCAGACCAAAAAATGCGAGCTACCCCAAATAACGTAGAAAATACTGACCTCTATTGATAGTGAGGGCGCAAACTACATTATTGTCGTGTTAGGAAACAAATATAAAACAATTTCTAATTAAAATTACTACAGAAGAAACCCTACTCCACAGTTTTCGATAGTTAATCTAAAAAAACTAAAACGTTGCATACGCAATTAATGAAATACAACTAGTTTGGTAAAAAAAATCAAGAAATTACTAAATTGTTAGTTGAACTCAATTCAAACGGGTTATTGACCAAATTTAGTAGGTTAGCGTGTGTGAATAAAAAAAAAAACATATAGGCAAACGCTAGTAATAGTCGCATTCGTGTACCAATTTTGCATACACAATACCCCGTGATTAACGTTACAATATTAACTGTTATATTATTAACTATTCAGCAGTACCAAAAAATCATAATATCGTTTTAAAATATACATAGAGAACTTGACCAAATATTTTTTTTTTAAATTATTACAAAAACGTATATTAAATAACACGCGTCTAAAAAACTGAAGTCTTAAATGAAGCGTCTAAAAAACTGTTTCGATTAACTGATTAACACATACTTGTAATATTTCTAAATATATTTTTATTTGTTGAAATGGATTAATTTTCATCATCTTCTCTATAAGTATTTTACTTTATTTTTAAACTTAATCATATAGTCAATGGAGTACCATTACTGGATGGTTTTTCCACTCAAGCTAATTCATGGTGTTATTTTTTTAGCTCTAATACTTATTGTTAAAAAATTGTTTACAGATAGTTTTATAAATAGTGTTTAATAAAAAACCCCGTATCATCAACTTAGGATTATTTATTTTTAAGTAATTATTTTTCAAGAAACCATCCATGAAACGTAGTAAGAGGTTTTCATAACCTAAAGCTACTTATTAATAATATTGTTCAACGAAACGTATTTAACCGGAAACAATAAGTTAAACAACGCAATTGTAAATATGTTTTTCCTTATTTTGAAATCTTAAGTTGATATTAAGAACAATTCTTTTAGCCTTTAGATTTTTTATTAGGAAATTTTATTAGGTCAGATAAGATAAAGTTTGGCAGTTAACTGTAATGCTGTTATTTCCACCATTAACGTCGTGGACGAACCCTTAATACTACATTAACAAATTGAGTACAAGAGCCGCTTAAGATTCAATAGTGGGATGAGGAAATGTTTTTAGTATAAAATATACATTAGTTAAAATCAAAGAATCGATTTGAAATAGTAGAAAAAACACGTCATTCAGGGTAAAATAGTTGTTCTAATTATACTATAACATAGTCTGCTGTTTTATGTTTATAATAGAGATATCAGCACATTAACAATAGACACACGCCATTTTTCACTGCATGTTATAATTTTTTGGCTATCAAATAAGAACTAGCTGGTAGCACGCGATGACGTGTCTTTAATAAAATATAACGTACTTGGCACGTTATATTTTCCAGTAAATCAAATTTAATATGTATGTTATTATGATGGTCATAGATTTTATGCGTAAAATATGGCGTTCAAAATTATTATTATTATTTTTTTACACTCATATCAAGTCGTTCCAACAAACCTGGCGTGGAATTTTATTATGTAAATTTCTGTGAACCGTTGACAATTTCTTTAATAAATAACTTTAAATGTATTTGCCCGATTTACATAAATTCAATAACAACTCTGTTTTTCAACATAACTGCCTACGAATCTTATCTAAAGCACAAAGCACCACATTCATACAAGTATTGTAATACTTTATACTTTTTGTGATAATTGAGCTAGCAAATCAGTTAAAACGGTTCATTTAATGGCCACGGGTAATTGAAAAACATATGTTTCCTACAGTCATTAATTGACCAATCTATTCTTGATTAACAAAACTTAGTCATCATTCAAGGTTGATCTCTTAAAAAAATCCCTTTGAACGTTCGACTTTGAACTACCTATTTAAAAAGGAGATCTTTGCGTATAACTTTTTCTTTCGGTTTAAAGTCTTTCTTGGAAGTACAAGAGTCAAAACTTTTTAATACTGAGTATTAGACTTGGTTTTCATTTGTAAAATACCAGATTATGATATTGTGATTTATGTATAAAATACAAGTTGTGGTTAGAACGTTGTTCTTCAACGACGCTTTTAATGATCTTATTTATAAATGTTTTTATATGAAGTATGAAAAAAAAATGTACGAGTTTGAAGTGTTTTAATTTGCATATATTTCTCTCATCAATGCCTAAATGTATACAACTAATTTAACGCATTCTTTATGTATTATTCGTTCATTAAATGTAATAAAGGTATATTATATAAAGTAAAAAATGTTAATCTGGCAAATTTCAAACCCAGACAGTACAACTGGAGAAACATATCGCATTGTTAAAACTTGTAACTGGTTTTAGTGTCATTATAATATCATTTAGTCGTAACGAACGCCATAAGGATCATTTTATGTAGGTGATAATGTAGAATGATGTAAAGAAGGAAAAAAAGAATACACAGTTGATGTCTCTGAAATCGTTGCATTATCCCGGCCTAACTTGGCCGGCCACGGCACTTAGTGCAGCTATTAGCCAGCCAATATGTACCGGAACCGTATTATTATACTTTGATGTACAATTCGAATCCGTCTGGCTTTGAAATGACTTGGTCGACCGCATAGTATTATTCAGAGAAAAAAATTGAAAACAAATTGTTGGCGTTAAATCCGCGTTGTCGTTTGAGTTGTTCGCAAATAAAACTGTAATGTGTCTCTTAGACGTTCCATTGGGAAGCAACACCTTAACCAAAACTGTTAGAAAACCTCTAGCCAGTTAACAAATTAGCATTATAAACATGAGAGCTTGAGCTTAATGAATTAGAAAAAAATGGCCTTAGGACACATCTAAAGGGTTCTACAGGATCGATGAATTCTAACTATAAATGATACCATACAAATCATAAAAATAAAATACTTATTTCATAACAATTGTCAAAATATTTCAACATCATAATTTTAATTATTGAATGGCAGGGCCTTTTTCCAATCGGTTCCTCTGCCACTACTATCATTCCCTCCTTGTAATCTCTTCTGGTTGTCTTACTGAACAACGTCAGTCTATTATGGTATACTTCTTTGGCTTCGTCTTTTCTGTAGTAGTTGCAGCTACAATAACACAAAGTCACCTCTCTAGTTTTTAGCCTTTTCCGGTGGCGTTGTTTTATGTGATAAATGCAAATATGCACACAAGTCACAATACGCGTTTAATGTAAATGATTCGTCATAAGTGTGTCTCGCGCGACTAATAACATTATACACGTTAAATTATTATAAAATATTCGCCATTGTGAATGTATATTTATCATTGTGGCTGTGGTGGCGGTTCGGTGGCGACAAGATTATGCCCACAATAATAATCCGTCACGGGTATACACACCAGACATTTGCATAGTAAATAAGAGTAAAATGTTCATAACACTACCTAACTCTAGCACGGTCGGCCGGTGTATTAACATAATGATTTTGCACTCTGCCGGCCTTAAAGGCGACCACCCATAATGATATAGTATTGGACAGCCGACTGAACGTGATTTGCCCAACCGTCAATGTCTTGATCGATTCGACTACACGAGATCCCTGGGAGTTTCCCAGAACGATTAGTATTTTGCATATCCGCTAATAATTATAAATATAATTTGTTTTAGGTTTTTAGCAATTAATATCAATAACTATATTGATCGCTGAACGGCAACGGAAATCTTGTAGGAATACAAAATAGCAAAATATAAACAATTTAAATACAAACCAGTTCGAAATCGAAGGACAGTTGAAAAATTCTTTTAAAAATCTATCTCTATAAAAGTCGACGTAAAGTGATTACCTAATGTGTTGATTAATTAATTCGTAATTACTAATGTTTTTTATTTAATTGCTTTTTAACTTAACTGTTGAAGATATTTAAGTATAGCAAAAGTTAACCCAGAGACATAATATTAATTATGAAATAGATTTTAACTGTAAAGTATTCAAATTTTCCAGACAAACATTAAACAAGATGTTGAAAATTTATTTTTAAACTCTTTTGGGGAGGTTTTTCTGTTTGTAAAAGATAATAACAATCTAACGAATACTGGAAATATTTGAATTTACATATCATCAGTTCATTTTTAAGTGAGCTGTTTACTTTAACCAACCTACGGCGATTAAGCCTTTGTGCGTTTTGGGTTGCATCGACCGGC